AATATTATAAATTAAATCTATTAAAAATAGAAATAACAAATATAAAATTAGAATTGGAGTAAACCTAAGTTTTCTCTGCGATATCATAGTTTTCAGATTTAGTTGCATATTTGCTGAATTTGATCTATTTAAACCCTCTACTTTTATACAAAATTGTATATATATTAATTTTCGTATGAATATGACAAAGTTGTAAATCGATTTCTAGAGATAGGAACATCAGATATAACTTTCATAGGTCGCGATCGAGAGCTAAAGTGATTAGCTTTCAGCCTATACCCCTTTTCATTTTTCCTTTACAGTCCCTTAAAGAACAGAATCTTGTTCACTGCTGATTGATACGTTTTACATACTTTTCATAATTTTTAGCATTTCTCTTTCTTTTAGACTGAGCTTATGTGCCCCCTATAGCAGTGCACCAGGAACCCGATTTGATGAGCCATACTTCTTTTTTGATAACATGGCTCACAAGAGAAGTTGCTGAACTCTGTATACGCGGTTCAACCACTTCTCAATCTAAACCAGCATGTTCTTCCAGAAATTGCATTGCCTATCTTATAGAAGGTAAAAATAATAAAAATACTCGTTTAAAACCAAAAGTGACATAATATCTTTTATGTAAGATACAAAAGATGAACTTTCTACTTTGTTCAATGTCCGCTTAAACTGTACTGCAGATCGCTGCAGTACGGTTCAAAAGCTTCGGTTATTGTAAAGTGAATAGAATATATATTAGAGTGGAATTTACTAGAAAAAGGTTAAAACGGCAATTTTGTTGTACTGTTTCCGTACTGCAGTCTACTTCACATATTTGTGCTATATAACCTTTTGGGCCCTGGACTGACAAAATCCATACCGAGGGATTTTCTAAATTCCACTCTAATATATATTCCATTCTCTTTGGCTTATTGCGTACGTTGTACTTTGTTGTTCTATTTTCCAACTAGGCTTCTGGACAAAAAATCCACTTTTATTTTTTAAATGTTACTTTTCAAGTCGTTTTTTTTTCATCACACTTCACGGAAAAAAATGACGTAAAATTTTTTGTTAAAAATAATTTATTTTTCAAATGATTCGACAATTGTTTAGGGCAAAATTTCTTTAATTTAGACCAGCCTAATCGGTTCAACCGTTTTAACTTTTAGTTATAGAGAATAGAATATATATTAGAGAGGAATTTAAAGAATCTTTTCAGTCCCTTTCAGCCTGAAAGGGAGTTCAAAGTGTACAAATTATGTAAATGTTCACAAATTATGTGCAGTAGAGTACATTAATACAGTATGTTCCTTAGACTATCCATTTCAATTTCGAAATTTTTAAAGCTGTTAAATTAATTTTATAATGAATTAGGTGAATAAATACCATCATTTGATTTATAGTTATAACGGAAAATCATCGTTTGTAAAGTGAAAGGCATAGAGTCTATTTGAAATGATCATTGGTCAATTGTGAAACCAGCCTATTTCATTATTTGGTTTTCTTTTAACATTAATTTTAGATTTTCTATAAAATGATATTCCAGGGCCCAAAAGGTTATATAGCATAAATATGTGAAGTACACCTGCAGTATGGAAAGAGTACAACAAAATGGCCGTTTTACACTTTTTTCTAGTAAATTCCCCGCTAATATATATTCTATTCTCTTTGTGCATAACCCTATTCACCATTCAATATTATTTTAACCATGTGAAACTCCATAATTAAACAACAGAAACTTTGAGTTTGGTACGTTGGTCTGATGCTAAGTAGCACCAATTAGATTTTAGTACAATATATGGCAACGTAGACTTTGTACACTCTTAGTCTGACATTACAAGTGTCAATTCAGTTTTTGTGTCCGGCAAAATTGTCAATAAAAGTGATAATTTTAGAATAAAGTGCTTATCTTACATTAAAATAAGTGCAAGTTTATGTTTTTTTCTGTTTTTTTCCACATTTATTTAGTCTTAGAAAACATGTCAACTAAAATGAGAAAATGTTGTTTTCCTTGTTATGTTTGACATTGTGACGGCGTGTGTAATTGGTCCATTTCTCTGTTGCCACCTATTGTACATAATAATCTATTTAAGTAACAGTAAACTATTCAGAAGTGCAGCGTAATACGAATAATATCCAAGCAAAAACGGAATTCCATTTATTTTTTACGATCCAACAATAATAGCAAGGAAATTTGAAGCAAAAGTTGAAAATATAGGTTTTAGACTTCTTCCGTATTATCTGAATAACGAATCAAGCCTGTATAGAGAGGGGGTCAACTTTGGAACATTACAGGGGCCCAGAAATGAAGTCCCGTACTTGACTTCCTTTGTACACAAACTGAGGGANTAAATTTTCTACATTATTAAATATATATTTGATAAAAACATTGGAACTTTTTAAAGAAGGGCATGTCCTGCCATGATTTTTTATTAGTATTTTTAGCCATGCTATTCATAATAATAAGAATTTAAATAACCTTCATTTTGTGTTAACATTATCAGAATTTTACTAAAATCGTTTTTTGTACTGATGGATGTTTTGCAAAAGCAAATTGTTTGCATTTAAACCATATCAAACGGAACTGAATGTTTTCCGTAGTATGTAGTTTTGATTAAATATAGGTTTATATGTACCTAAGAATAAATACATTTATTAATAAATATGTTTTTATCTGAATGATATTTACAGAATTTTGAATTTTTTGAAGAAAGAAATTTATGTGTGAACATAAATTACTCCTTTTTTGTTTTATGTAATAACGGAAAAAAGAATGTTTTACGTAATAATTAATAACAAACAATGTTTTACATAACCATTAAATAACATTGCTCGTTTTTTTTTGTACCACATCAAACGGAACTAAATTTTTTCGTACTATGTAGTTTTATTTAAATATAATTTGTATGTACTTAAGAAAAAAAAAATTTAAAACAGAAAATATAAAAAACAGAAAAAAATACGAATTCAGTTATAGAATGTTATCGTTGTCTACTTATTTATTACCATTACAATAACAAATTGTTAAAATGTTTGAATCAGAATGATTTAATCAAGTATGTTGTTTACATTTAACATTTAAATCTTATGTTGATTATAATATTTTAAATAATAGTGAGATATCAAAAAGTGAAAAATAAACTTTGGAAAAAATAGTTTTTGCGAAACTGAAGAATCACTTTAATGGAATAATTATAATAATCTGGTCCAAATAGCAACTGAACCGAGTGCAGCTGGTAATATCCTGATAACTAAATAGATAAATACATCATGATTTCTTTTATTGTGTTTGTGATGGGGTGAGTGTATCAGTGGTAGAATCTGTCCCTGAAGCAGAAACATCTCCAACAGCTTCTGACACAACAGTAGCTCACCTGTCTAAACAATCGAGTACATAGCGAGTTTAGTGATTTTTGAAATTAAAGCTAGCAATTTATAGGTTAATAATAATTGAACCTGCTGCTCCTGTTCAAGTAACAATTTCTCCTATAGCTGTAGTCGCTGCTGGAGAGGAAGCTGCTTTTGTAGTATCTGTAGCTACTACGCCTGTCCAAGTTGTCCAAGAAGCTCCGTCAGTGCAAACTTCATAAGCTTCCCAACCTACTGACGCTATTCCTACAATTTATTCTGAGACTGCTCACATCTTTTCTCAGTGCATACACAAGATGATGACTTGACTCCTACAATTGTGGAAGCAGTTTTGCTACATCGATGCAAACTGCATATGCTTCCCAGCCTGCTATCGTTATTCGTGCACTTTAACCCGAGGCTGCTCCCATCTTTTCTCAATACAATGCAAAGACTGAAGTTATTATAAAGGGGGCAGCAACTATACTTCAACATGATTAGATATGCAGCTGTTCAAACTGTTCCTGATATTTATGCCAACCATGTTGCATAAATTGCATAAGCTGCTCAGATTGACTGTGCAACACTGTTGTAAGAAGAACTCCTATTGTTGATGAAATTTTGCTGAGGATTAAAAGCTGAATGCAATAATATCCTTTGCTGCTACTTTGCTGCTCATCAACCTGCTTATACTCCTGTTTACGTCATGCTGCTCAAATTGACTGTGCAACACTGTTGTAAGAAGAACTCCTATTGTTGATGAAATTTTGCTGAGGATTAAAAGCTGAATGCAATAATATCCTTTGCTGCTACTTTGCTGCTCATCAACCTGCTTATACTCTTGTTTACGTCATGCTGCTCCAATTGATTATGCAACGCTGCTGTTCACTGCTACTGATCTAGACCAGATAATAGAACTTTCCAAAAAAATTTTCCATCATCATCATAGTAATTTTTTAAAAAAAAGAATTTTTGTATCATATTATATAAAAGAGAGGCTTCAATATTTTTCCCCGGTACAAATTGGACAAGGGGGGGAATATTGCAGCGTATTATTACTTTTTATGTTGAAAACTCTTTTTCTACAAAACAGGCTTGCTCAGCTAGGCTGCGCTGCCTAGTATAAAAAGGGTTAGCAACTCTTTATAAATGCCTAGTCTTGTTTGTATGCTCTTCTCTACCATATCAATATACATATTTCAAGGTATTATTCTTGATAAATTTAAGACAGAGTTAGAAAGTTGAGTTTAGAGAGTTTATTTTAGAGAGTAGAGTTTAGAGAGTTGAATTCAGAGAGGTTTCTATAGAGTATAAATGTTTTTCAAAGAGTTTAGTTTAGTTTAAATGACTATTGATTAGTCAATGATTTTGGTTTAGTTATAAATGACTATTGATTAGTCAGAAGAAAAAATCTGTCGGAACTATACTCTCCAGGGCACCATTCAGAATTTGCATGCACTCATCTGACTAATGCTATGATGAGTCATTTCAATTTTAAACAGTGAATGTGTTTACATGTTTGTCTTGATTAGCTCTTTTAGAATATCTAATAAAATATTACTGAGCCCTTCTAGCACCTCCTAGAACAATATGTTGAGCTTAATAATTGCAGAGGAGTAGAGTCAATGCAAGAAACTTCTGCTAGTCTTAAAAGAAAACAAGAAAACACTAATCAGTCTGGTCTTTTTGCTTTTATCATTTATTCTTTAGAATCCAATAGATACAAGTTCTATAAACTTCTGACTTCAGTACCATCGGTACTAGTCAACATTGTTAACAGGCAACTTGAACTCCGTTGACATTAGTACAGATTCCAACATTGGCAGAGTGGGTGTATCCATAGGGAGTAGAAGCAATTGCATGGTCAGCCTTGTATGCAACAGCACCGGAATAAGCAGAGGGGATAGCAGAATAGGTGGTGGGGATAGCAGAATAAGCAGAGGGGATAGCAGAGTAGGTGGAGGGGATAGCAGAATAGGTGGAGGGGATAGCAGAGTAGATGGAGGGAATAGCAGAGTAAGCAGAGGGGATAGAAGAGTAGGTGGAGGGGATTGCTGAGTATTTAACAGAAGCATATGTTTCTGGGATAGCAGAGTAGGTTGAAGGGATGGCAGAGTAAGTAGAAGTTGGAGCAGAGTAGTAAAGATTAGCATCAGAATCAGCTTCACGCTTTACAACATGCTCAACAGCTCCATTCTTGGCTATATACTTAGTTCCATATACACCAGTATTGATAGCAGTGTACTGCTCTGGGTTGTTGTAGCTAGTCAGAGTAGTCTGGGTTCCAGCAGCACCAGAGTAGGCTACGGGAGCAGATACTCCTGAGTAACCATAAAAGGGAGAAGCAACAAGGTTATTGGCATAGGTAGAGACAGGGGAGGCAGAGTAAGTTGCCACGGGGCTCACAATCTTCTGGTAGGCAGAATAGGTGGACACTGGAGTAGCAACAGTTTGGTAGGTAGACACTGGTGCAGCAACAGTTTGGTAGGTAGACACTGGTGCAGCAACAGTTTGGTAGGTGGACACTGGTGCAGCAACAGTTTGGTAGGTGGACACTGGTGCAGCAACAGTTTGGTAGGTGGACACTGGTGCAGCAACTGTTGAATAAGTGGTAATTGGAGCAGCTACAGGCCTGTAGCTAGATACAGCAACAGGAGCAGTGTTGTAAGCAGAATGAAAGGAAAGGGGAGCTTGAAGATACTGGGGATCGGCTTCAGGCTCAGCCACCACGGCAGCAGCCAGAGCGAGAACTACGAACTAAATAACAAAATTTTAAATGATAAACTCTAAAATATTACTTTATGTATAAATCAACTGTAAAATGTCATTCTGTTTCTCTTTCTGAGATTATTAAACAGAGTGAATAAAAAATTCCACCTTAATATTTACCCGAAAGGCAAAAACTGAGATTTGTTCCAGTGTACCGATATAAAAATTAGTAAAAAAAAAAGGTTTTTCATAAGGGTTCAAACATATTTGAAATCTCAAATCATATAACTAAGGCCTTGAGAGCAGACAAAAGATAATAGTTAACAATTTTATAATAGAAAACAATTTTGGTAGATATGTATAGAGGTAAATTTTAATTTTCTCATTTCAAGAAAGATTTTTAGGGTATAGAGTTAGTGACAACAGTGATGAGTCAACACCTCCTCTCTCTGAGAGAAGGCATGCAAAATTTTTGTAGAATATATATGTAAATTATGATATATTTTAGAATATAACTAAACCCTTTAAAACATTATTCATGAATCGTAAGGGTTGAGCGTTGTTCTTGTGGAACAATCGTTCCTTCACAAGAACTAACGGAACTATCAAGAACAATCTCATCATTCTGTAATAAGAACAAATACATTGAATGCGTTCTTAAAAATATTGGAACTATTAGTAAAAGAACAGAATAGAACAGAACAGAAATTGCTTGAAAATATAAATCAGAAACGCGTTCTTATTATCAAGAACACATTTTAATTAGGGAACGTATTTTAAATCAGGTATGTGTTCTAAATCATCTAGACCCCACTCTAAACCCGGCTCCCTTCCCCGGCCTCCCTCTTCCGTCAGGGATGGGAGAGTTAGGTTTAGAAAGAAAGAAATTGTTTTCTATAATTTATTTCTATATATTTCAATATTATTAAAATGTTGATTATAAAATTAATTATTTTTTTTATGAAACTATTGTGTACTTTATCATTCTTACTCACTTCATCGTGAATTTCATAATGAACGTGATATAAAGTAATCATCGTGCTATAAAGTTAAATTAGCTGTACATAATGGCACGTGTTGTATAAAGTTTTGATTGGTTCCCGGATTTTCTCCAAAATACTTTTTTCAATTGAAATGAAAATAAAATTGAAATCAACTTTGTATTTTGACTTCTGCTTCGTTTCAAAGCTTATTTGATCTAGAAATAGCCATTGAAATCAGACAAGTACACAATTAAGTATTTCATAAAATTTCACTAATATTTTGGCACGACGTGCAATAACGTTTTTGGACTAAAATTTTCTCTATATCTTGAAGGTTCTCGCCTTTTTAGATTATATTTTTTCCTCGCTAAAGCTTGGAACTAAATTAAATAAAAAAGGCTTGAACCTTCCCGATAAAGAGACATTTCTGGTCAAAAACTCTTGCACTGCGAACCAAAATAACTGTGTTTTATATAGTTATTAAAATCTACAAATTGTAATGCAACAAATGATGGAAACGTTCTTGACTAAGAACGAAACGGGGATTGACTGTTCTTCGACTAAGAACACCAAGAACGAAACGGAACAAAACAAGAAGGGAACCATCAAAAATAAGAATGGAACCGAACAATCTTGCTGAAGGCCCTCGTTCTAGAACGGAATGGAACAATTTTTAAAAAGCCGGAACGTGCCCAGCCCTATGTGAGACTGAGTAAAATAATGCATTGGCCGGCAGTAAGATAGTAGTGTCTGTGCCGTTCCTATTCATGAGTCGACTCTAACGCATTGGAACTGCAATTTTGGGAATGACATTACGCTACATGTTGCAATGTATGTTCATAACCCAATTTTTCAAGGAGAGGTTATGAAAAAAAATAAGAATACTAACTTAAATAGTTCGGGTACTGAGATGGTTTAAAAAATATCAAAAATAAATGTTGGAAAATTAAAAAAAAGAATTTATTTGAATGGTTATACTATTAAAAAAAGTATTTTTTAGATCTGTATACTGTATAGCCTAAATAAAATCCATTGAATTACTAATCCAAGTATAAAAAAATTAAGGTAATAATGTCAAAAATGCGAGTGCATGAGCAAACCAATTTTTAAAAAAGTTTAGAGTTAATAATAATGACCACCTACCATCTTCATGATTAGAGAAGGTTTGCTAGACGAGTACCAAGTAGGACTGTGTCTAGGATTCTAGAATTTTCTCTTTTATACTCTTCATGTTGTCTCAGAGCTGACCTTTTACAAGTAGTGGAAAAGCTGCTTTGATTTGCCTCCAGCTATCCCTGGCTTTTACATGTCTGAGCCCTGAGGGTCTTGAGGTTAACGTTTGGGCAACTAGTAAATTTTCAACTTTTTAGTGAAACAAATTTTCAGCCCTAAAGGGACTGTAAGCGTAATTTCAAGTGAACCTTCATGTACTCATGGCACTGACTGATTCACAACAGGAACCCTTAAAGCCTTGTCTGTTAAAGTATGAATCAGATGTAAATGTATAATTTAGAAAAAACAATTATTTTCAATTTCAAGTTCTCTACGTAAGCGGCTTTCGCATTTCTACTGCAGGACAACACTTTTATTCCTAGAAACGACAATACTTTCCAGAATATTAGCATTAAACAATCAGTGGGGGTATTAAAATTGAACTTTTTAACATTAGCTTGTACGTCCAATCATAACGCATGAGTCCCGTGACCAATTTGCCTCAAATTTTGATTGGGAAACTAGGATTAGGAATGTTCTTAGTTTGGTTTCGAAGTTTTGAATTGAGTAAGATTTGACTTTAAAAGGGAGAACTTATTTTCCAGAAAAAGCTGGGTTCCAAACTAGTCAATATATAAAGTAGTCATCAATGTTTTTATGTCCGTTTGTTCGTTTGTATGTCATATCTCATGAACCCTTTATTATGAATTCAATAAATTGACTTTCATAAAGAAAATTTTTTTATTAGACAAAGCTGGGTTCCCAAGCCAATAATCTATAAAACAATATAATAGAATATTTTTAATCCAAATGGAGGAAAAGGAGGAGAAGAAAATGATGTGGGAGGAGAAGGAGGAGAATGAGAAAAAGAAGGAAGGTGGGTGGGAGGAGAAGGAGGAGAATGAGGAAAGAAGGAAGGTGGGTGGCAGGAGAAGGAGGAGAATGAGATAAAGAAGGAAGGTGGGTGGGAGGAGAAGGAGGAGAATGAGATAAAGAAGGAAGGTGGGTGGGAGGAGAAGGAGGAGAATAAGAAAAAGAAGGAAGGTGGGTGGGAGGAGAAGGAGCGGCGAATGAGAAAGAAGGAAGGTGGGTGGCAGGAGAAGGAGGAGAATTGGGGGTAGGAAAATAGTCGTTTATATCTGAATTTCTGTCTCTCTCTTAATGTTAACAGGTTTAAAAATCTAGATTATTATCACATGTCTGGTTATGAGAAGAACAACTAAAATTACCAACAACAGCTAAAGGTTTAAAGAGAGTGTTCGTGAAAAATAAAACGATTTTTCTAAAGTGTCCTTAATATGCTACAAGGTGTCCCAATAAACATGGGAATTTAGTGACGAATTTGGTATCGTCCTTGTTATGAATTAGCCTTGTTATACCTGATTTCAATTATATATACCTGTTATTATGTCTGCTAGAGTTTATTTTATAAAATCTGTAAATGGCTGTAAAGATGTATCTTTCATGTCTTTGCATGCCAAACAGTGAAGAGTGAAGATCGACAAACTTTCTCTGTTTGTATACTGTATGTCTTGTTTTACCATGTACACATTACATAAACAAACAAATTGTAAAAAAGCAGACAAAAATCTTACGGATTACAACTGTTTCATTAGGTATCACTATACTAAATCAAATATTTATTTAAAAAGACGATATAAAATTGAATTCTCATGTTTATTGGGACACTCTGGTACATTGAGAAAAAATAAGAAGGACAAGCGGGTTGTAAATTAAAGTCCAAGAATAAATATGATAATGATAAACCCGAGTCCAAGGGTTTTTCATTGAATCCCGAGGGGGTTTAAATTTCCATTGATTCTAATTTGTCTGAGAGTAAATGACATTCCTTCTTAAAGAGGGGATTCAATGATAACCCCGAGGGCTTGCGGATTTTGCGGATTTTTTTGCCTTTGTAGATTTTCAAAGTATCTTTCAATGAAAATATCCCGGCGGAATTAAATGAAAATTGTTGCATACCAAAAAACCAGCTTTTTATAAAGGAATGGTCTTTTATGCTTTTTTCTTTTTTTCCCCCTTGAGCATTCGATTCCGTACAGTCAACCCAGTCAGAGTTGGAATTAAAGATGTATTTATTTAATCTTTCAACTAGTTAATGTCTCTAGAATTTTAAAATTTGTAGGTCATGAACCTTTGCACCGATTTGCCTCAACTTTTGATTGAGAAACTCGATATTTGGATTTTAAATTCAAAGTTTAATAAGTTGGGTTCCCAAGTTAAGCAAAGCATAAAATACCATGAAAAATAATATTAAATTTCCCGTCTAACCAAAAATTTCCGTGCCCCCCCCCCCTTCAAGATCCAGAATACGCACAAGAATTCTTGAAAAGTGTTTTGTTTACTTAATTTCATAATTTTTAAAGATATACTTTATCTCTGTTAGTTGATTCTATAACCTGAAAAGAAAATGATTATTTTGAAACTTATACTTTTACACTTTATTCTAGGTGAATGAAATGTTACAAAATTCAAAAAATTTCTACCAAAATTAAAAATAAAATTTTTTTTTGTCAGTGTTTGCCGAGAGTAAAACCTTTATCAAGGGTTTCGGAGACTTCGAATGTCCAGGGTAAATTTTTTTAAAAGTTCTGATTTTTTTTTCAAGTGGCGTTTTCATTAAACAGAAATAAATGGCGAACTTGTAAGTCTTCTTTCATATTTTGCTTTTATCTATATATTTGAAAAAAATATCCATTGCCGAGATTTCAAAGGTTTGATGATTCGACCTTTTAGTAATTCAAAAATTTACTGCACGATACCAAGGGATTTTTTCAGGTTTTTTTTTAACAGAAATTGTCGAAATTTTAATATCAGACCTTTTTTAAGAGAAAAATAAACAACTTTGGACAGTTCACATTCTTTTCAATAAAACCTAACATTTTTTAGCGTCTAAATATCAAGGCAATCTTATCCGGACACCTATTGTTTAGTCCAGGTATATGGGCTGACCCTTCTAACCATTGTTTAGTCCAGGTACATGGGCTGACCCTTCTAAAATTGTTTAGTCCAGGTATATGAGCTGACCCTTCTAACCATTGTTTAGTCCAGGTATATGAGCTGACCCTTCTAACCATTGTTTAGTCCAGGTATATGGGCTGACCCTTCTAACCATTGTTTAGTGCTGACCCTTCTAACCATTGTTTAGTCCAGGTATATGAGCTGACCCTTCTAACCATTGTTTAGTCCATGTATATGAGCTGACCCTGCTAAACATTGTTTAGTCCAGGTATATGGGCTGACCCTGCTAACTGCCAATGTTACTATAACTGTGCTAACAGTATACCATACCATACTTGCTGTTCTGATGGGACTTATTTCGATGCGGTAAATATTCAGTACATATATATATAGTAGTACAGCAAGTGTAGTTACCAGTGGCGTAAATAAGGGGGATTATTGGGGTTATTTATCCCCCCCCTCTAGAATCCTGGGGGTAATTAACCATCCCCCCTCTAGAATCTTTGAGGTAATTATTTTGTTTTGAAAAAAAGGTTGATTTCAAAAATGAATATCTTTTAAAGTTGCGAGAAAATAATTTAAATATTTAAATATCAGATATTTCAGATTTTAAGTCAACATATTCTAATTGATTCTAAATTCTAAAGTAATAGTTAATGTCAATACAATTAGATGTTTTTTTTTAATAGAAAAAAGGGTATGGTCAATGAAAGATTTTTACTTCTAAATAATGTAATTTCTATATTAGATTTATCTAACATTGACGACAAGAAAGTTTTAGAAATTAGAAATAAGAATTTAAACAAACTTCAAAGACAATATTTTTACCCCCTCCCCCCCTTACAGAATCCTTTTTTACGCCCCTGGTAGTTACACCTAGAATGATATCCAGAAAACTCTGAAATAGAAAACGACGTTGAGAATCAAGTTATAACTTTAAAAATTCCAATAAGCATGAGAGTGAGACACAGAAATTGTGCAGTGTAAAACAGACCCATTCCAATAAATTAGTGATTTAATAAGTGTCTAGTAAAATGTTTGCATTGTAACAACATCAGAAACCCTTCACACTTCAGTAACCATTTTTCTTCTGGTTATTTCTGTTATTCTAATAAATATAGTGTTATCCATAGAAATGAAGAAAAGAAAGACGATGTTTAAACAATCTTATGTGATTGTGATGTTGTTTTACTGGTAGCCTTTAAAATAAGCTATTAATTGTTACACTGCACAATTGCCGAATTTCATATTCATTAGATTTTTTAGAATTAATGATTTGCGTCTAACTGTCGTCTTCTTATTTGTACTTACACTTTGATCTGTTATAATTAAAAATTTAGCTAATTAAATTATATATTAAGCACCAGACAACTGTGGAATACTTGCTGTATCTTACTGTACAATTGCTGTTTCTCATTTTCATTGAACTGTTTAAATGGGATCATTTCAGTCTAAAAGTCGTCTTCGTATTCCAGAGTTTTCTGGTGCTTGCTGTAGAAAATGGGATTTTATGGGAATTGTTATTTTTTGTGACGCAGATTTGAAATTTGAAAACAAATTGTTTAGGTATATATGGACTGTGATTATGAGGACAAGGGTAAACAAATTATTTAATAATTGAAATTTAAAAAATGTATATATCATCATCAATCACTAAAATGTGTATGAATTCTCAATAAATATAGAATTTTTTGAAAGGGCTCAATTTTTTATTTTGAATTTTTATTTATTACTTAGTTGATTGTGGTTCAAGACCGGAGCCTGGAGGAAGCACTAGGTATTTTATTTCTTTTATTATTATAATTATTATTTGCCCGTGAAAAAAAAATGTTTTTAAAAAATAATAAGAAATTTAAAATTCGATTTTTTAGCCTATGTCACCCCCAGGCTACCCCTGAGTGTCCACAAATAATTTTCAGTCCAATCGGTCCAGCCGTTTGGCCGGCTATAGGCAACATCATATGTCTTGTTTTATTGTATAGATATTTTATTGCTAAGAAAATTAGATTTGTAGTAACTTATAGTGAATTAGGCCACCAACAACAACAACCGCAACTTCAACAACAACAATTAAAACAAGCTTTGGTACCACAACAACATCACCAACAACAACTTCAACCACAACAATAGGAACAAGTTTTGGAACCACAACAATATCAACAACAACAATAAGAACAAGTTCGGGAACCACATCAACATCAACAACAACATCAGGTAGACATATTACGTAATAACATTTGATTGTCACTCTGAATGGATGTTTGAATATAACTCATGAACTCCTAGGCCGATTTTCCTTCAATTCTCATAAACGGAGATGTTACAGATTGGATTAAATATTCTACGTTAGTTTTTTCCTTCTGTCTATACGTATATCTGTCTGTCTGTCTGTGTGTCTGTCTATCTGTATGCCTTTATATCATAGTAAAGTATATTAGAAACCAGATTCATCAGTCATGAATCATGACAACTATACAGGAAGTAATTTTTACAAATTAAAATAATTTTCTCACAGCTATACACACCTTCACACGCCTTATCTCCACACGCAGACACTACTCAACTCACTTAACACGACACTTTAAAATCAAACAATAAACAAGCATATCTTGCACTAATAGAACTTGTTCTTCTCAAATCCTATTTAAGCAGAAGTTTTGCACCACACACGTGAAAATTCAGCTGTCAAATTAAATTTTAAGAAAATTCAATCACATTTTCGGCCGTAAAAAGATAGTTTTAACTGCTCAAAAAAATATCGCTTGTTATACAACGATCCGATCCGATCTAATTTGCTTGTGTGGCACCTCCCCCCCCCCCCGTCAGGGTTAAAAGACAGGTGAAAGTCTGGAAAAAAGGCCAAATTTATTACTTTAAAATTGGAAGAATTTAAACAGATACATCAGCGAAATCTAGTAAAATTTTGAGAGCAGAGAAAATGAGAAAATGAAGAATTTAAACAGATACTTCAGCGAAATCTAGTAAAATTTTGAGAGCGGAGAAAATGAGCAAGAGCTAAAAGTTCACTTTTTTAGAGAAGTGGGCGCGCATCGCCCTCAAAGGAATTAGTTTATGTAGATTCACCCTCTGTCAATTGTTACTATGGGTGGGGTATAATGTTGCTTTATTTGAAACAAGTTTGACCTTTCCGAGTAACAAAGAAATGAACTAGAAACTTCTAAAAAATCGTGCATATAAAAATTATTTGTGGCTCGATCTGATATTAATGAACAAATCCAAACAAAAAATCTAAAATCTGGCAAATTACTGTGGTGTTGCTTGATTTAAGATTAGTTTCGTATACTCATCTGTTTATAGGCTTAAGGGATAGATAAAAAAAAGTGACTGTTATAAAAATTGTCTAATATATATTTTGTCTTTCTATGTTTGATGGTAGCGGTACATCCCTGCAGGGATGCGTGTCTAGAAAATACGCTTAGTTCTGCGTAAACTCAAGCAGTGTACGCATCTTACGCATTTCAAGTGAATCGATTCTGGGATAGACATGAACAGTGTTTTATGGTTACTGAGCAGTTTCTGTCGTTTCTGCGCTCAAATTCTAGCTTTCCGATTACTCCTAAAAAGTCGATGATGAGAAATATATTTATAATTTATTGACCTATATACATTTTATTATGAGGAATAGTTGGTTCGTTTTTCTTTCGTTTTTCATAGTGTAAGAAAAGCAGTTGTTTAATTTTTTTTCTTTCTCTTGAAAGCTGTCGTCTTGTTTTTATTTTAAAAATCTAGCTAGTGTAATTTTTACTTATCATAAAAAATGTTTACGGTTCTTTATTAGAAATAGATCAGATGTATTTAACTAAATACTTTAAGAAAATCGAAGATAGAAAATGAAAATTCCGCTGTATTATTGAATATCGTTTTCGTTAGTCATAAAAATACACATAAGATTATACTTAAATGTCGTCTTACTTTTTTCACAGTTTTTTTTTTTACAAAATTGCAATATCTAAAGGTTTCCTTTAACTCATTTTTTTTGCTTCTCTAGTACTGACGTATTTTCCCCCCAAAAACATTATTAGTTATTACTTAGTTTTAAGCGTAAATCGTTTTGATTAGTTTTTTAAACTTTTAAAAAAACTTTCAAGTTATTATCATAAAAAATTGGAAAAGCAAACTAAAAATCGATCGTTTTGGTTTTTTTTGCATATTTTTTGTTAGGATCAAATAGTTCTGTATTATAAAAAAACCAAATGTTTAGAATATTTAAATGCCAATACATTTGAAAAGTGTCAAACAAGTCCTGTAAATGTTCACCACAAATCGATCTCCTCAATAAATGTTGAGTGAAAAATTTAAAAGTCAAACATATTTTGAAGATGCAGAACAGAAACATGGTTTTATATCGTGAAGAAATTTACGGATCTGAGATTAAACCATTTTCCCACTCCAATTTAATCCACATTTCAAACAATTTTTTATTCTGACAACATTTTTGGCGGATTTAAGTTTGAAAATGTTGCGCATTTCATTGTGTGTAATGTTGTGTGCAATGGAAGCAAGTTGTGTGATTACAAATCAAGGAATGGAGAGAAGTGAGGTGAGGGGACAAAACAAATCGCCCCCCCCCTTGTTTTCATCGAGGGTTCCCTAAGATCTGTCCAAAATGTGTCTATTTAATTTTTCTGGTTCTGGATACTTATAAAGCTTGGATTTATAAATCGCTGATTTCTTTTTTTCATTATTATTATGGAAAAATTGCATATTTTAATCTGCACTGGGGAACCAAAGGGGGGAAGGTTAAGAGACATAATTGCATTAAACTCAACCACGGTAGATCCCCATTTCCTGCAACCAACGTCACTTCCTTATTCTGAATAGAGTAAACCTATGTTTCTGTTGTTATCTGTCTACTCGCATATTTTCAAGGACTTCAACCAAGGATATGTTAATAAAAGGACTGTTTACTCAAAGAAAGACATGTAACTGTTTAGCCGGTTTTAAAAAGAAAGGATCGTTCACTAGTATTATGAGATAAAGTAGGCGATGACAACCTAATGACTTCCGGACATGAAAATAGCTATTTATAAATTAAAAATAAGATAATTATTACTTTTTTAGAAAAAGGGATCACATGATTTTTTAATTTCACTAGAATTCTCCCCCCCCCCTTTCCTCCCCTATACTAGATTGTAATGTCCCCCTGTGTTATGAAGGATGAACGTGAATTCGGTGGTTGGATAGAAAGCAGACCTGAGGATTATATAATGAGCATTATTAGGAATCCATGAAATAAACTGCATTTAAAAAATATTTTAATATTTTCATTAAATAAACCAGATGTTGATTTATTTGACAATTGCCATTGATTCGTTGATTCATTAATCTGATCGATTCATTAATTCATTACATCAATGATTCAGTAATAAATTTATGTATGGCTCTACTGAGTAATTGATTCATTGATTTATTGATTCAATTATTTATTGATTCATTGATTCATTGATTTTCAGTTTAATTTTTTCATTGTCTATTTTTTGTATTCTGAAAGGGACTGTATTCTGATAATTTCTCCATTGTTTCTGAATTAAAAATGCACAAAACACTTTTGAAGAAAACCCGCAAATGAAAACAAACATTAAAAAAATAAAAGTATTGATATAAAAATCAGTCTTGACCAGACAGACTGTTACAACTCTCTATCAATGGAGGGTCACTTGAAATGACCTTAAGAGTTTCTTTAGTTAATAAATACAAAATTAAATAAAAAAATAAAAAATAAAAATATTTAAGCGTGTAAAACCATGGATCAATTCCAGCAAGCGAAAAGTAGAATCAAATAGTAAAATCAATAAAGTTGTTAAAGATTACGATTTCCAATTTAAAAAAGGTATGCATTGACAGAGTAAGCAGGATTTGAAATCATTATTGTTCTGATAAAGGAGAAAAATAAAAAATAAAAACATAAAAATATTAGAGAATATTTTTCTGCAAGTCTACATTAGTGAATTGTCTTTAAAAAACTTAAATGTATAAAAAGATAAGATATATTATTTAAATAAAAATCCTTTTTCTTTAGAAGATAAGTACATATTTTGTTATGTTACAGTGATTACCAGGGTCTGTCCTAGAGAATGATTTTTGGACCCCCCACCGCCCCTCCCGGGCCCCCTCTCCTATCAATTTTGTACATGACCTTTAATTTTAAGTTATTTTGTATTATTTTAGGGTTAGGTTAAGTTAAGACACTTTCTGGGGCGAGCGCTGCGGTTAGGACAGGGTAGGGGGCCGAGCGCTGCGGCCACATGTCTTACATTTAAGATCCATGTACAAAATTGATAGGAGGGGGGGGGGAAGGGGGGTCCAAAAATCGTTCTCTAGGAAATTACCGATTACCAAAAAACTCTGAAATATTATGCGACTTAAAGATTCAATCAATAACTTTAAAAAGTCCAATGAGCATGATACACAATAATTGTGTACTGTAAACAGTTAAATTAGTAATTTACTAAGTGTCTAGTAAACTATTTGCTTTGTAACAAAATCAAATACACTTTGGTATTGCTATAAGATCGTCTTCCAATTCCATTGTTTTCTGAATATCATTGTATTAAATTATATACAACACACATCACACACTACACAGTAGACACAAGGAGATATTTTTGTTTAGTACTTTATGCGCAAACTTTCCTAAAGAAGTTATGGCTATCAATTAGATCATTTGACATTACACATTATCATGGTTACAATTGAAAATCGATGATGGCACCCTGAATTCTCTTTTTCAGGCCCGTATCCAGGATTTCCCAACAAGGTTCTTGGCTTGTATATTCTCCTAGCAGATGATACAGAAACTGGGTATGATTAGGGATGAGCATAGTTTAAGGTCCGGTTTAAAACATTCAAGGGTTTTAAACTTTAAGAGCTACTGCCTAAGATATAAGAGATTGAGCCAGTTTCAAAATGATAAGTTTGCTTTTATAATATTATGTAAAATTTTACTTCGACCAAAAATATGAACCTAACCGTTTTTTCATAATGATTGGTAAAATCGTTTTGAAAAATTGTTTTGAAAATGTTTTTCAACATTTGTTTTGAAAAATCGTTTCGTACAATATCTTTGGCCAGAGGAAAATTCTTGTATAAACTAAAAAGAGCAAATTTCTAAAACTTTATCAACTTTAAATGATATTTTTCTCAGATTCTTAAGGAGCGCTTGTAAGGTTAAAGGCCCAAAATACCTTGACTGTGTAAAAACGAAGCTAAAAACGAGGCCCATCCCTCGCCGTATAATACACTTCAAAAATGAAAATAACAAATTTAATGATTGACACCTCTATTTATTTTGTTTATGACAAATAAAGCACTGTATTTACTTTTAACAATTTTAGATAAAAAAAACAATTTCTGAAAAGCCAAAAAAATTGTTTCAAATAATCCAAAATTGGCATAAAAGGCCGACTTGAAAGATTAATCACAGCTATAAAACCAAACAAATTGTTTTCTTGCTTCAATGCCCAAATATAGCCAAAATTTATTAGAGTTTTTAGTTCTTAGCGCAACAGACAGCGTGCGGAAGATTTAATAATTAAAATTTTTATTAGAATTTCATCAGTGCATTGGTTTACCTAAGGGGTTACCCACAAAGTATGAGAATTTAGAGACGACTGCTCAGAATTTATACAATTTTTTGCTTTTAGAAATGGTTTCATGTAACTGTTAACAGTTTTGCGTCGTCAATAAAGTCTAATCCTTTGTGGGTATCTCTGTATTTCAGTGTATTTTAAAATTTGCCTCGTTTTTCTGATATAAAAATATATTTTGCTTTGGTATGGAACTAATGAAGATTGGGAGCCTTTACTTTACCCCTACCAACAGGTTAAAACTATGAAAGCATATTTTCTTCACAACAAACACTTCAAGTTAAAGACTTCTACCGATTTCCAATCAACGATACTTTCTACATTTTTTACCAGATAAAGGTTCTATGATTTCAGTTGTTATTTAAATGGCAGATCACTTGCAATGAAAGGAAAAATTATTAAATTTTGACATTTTTAAATATGTTTTAGTGTAACATGTAAAAAGTTGTTCAAACTCCTTAAAAAAAATTTTAAAGATAATTTATTTCCTCCAAGAAAAGTGAAATCGTTTGTTATAATTTAGACTGGTGCAAATGTTCTGTTCTTCACTTTTATAAACCCTGCCACGATGGAAATACCACTTTCTTTTAAAAAATTAGGTAAAGTGTTTTCTTGGATAGTTTACTCAGGATATACAATACGGGATTATCAATGTTTTGAATAAAATTTAAAATTTTTTTTGTTCTGTTCGGATTTTAGGCATAAAAAATAAAATATTATCAAAAAATCAAATATATATATGAAAGTTCGAAAAAAATACCGCGAAACCAAATTCTTTTTGGAAAAATAAAATTTGTTTGAAAATTTTTTGAGATATAACAAAAAATCCACAATTATTTCGAGTGGAAATTTGCAGTAAATGTTATTAAATTTTAACCCTAGAACTGTTATGACTTCAAAATTCAAATAATTGGCTAAAGTTTTTAATGAAATTTAAAAAAACAATATAAAAAACGTGGTATAAAAAAATTTCTAAAATTATTCTTTTCAAAAAAATGTTTTTCTCTGATTTAATATTTTTGAATTTTTTATCACATTTTATTTCTTGTATGCCTAAAATCTGATCAAAATTATGTCCTAACATCGATAATCCCAGCTTTTTTTTTAACTTGCCCTGTACATTTTTATCTTCTTCAATTTAACAACTTGTCAATAAATTTCATAACCTCTCTCTTTTCTACATTCAATGATATAGAAGCCTCGAGTTTTCATAAAATCGCTAGTTTGTTATTAATATCTACATTTTGTGAGCAAAATTTAGTTTGCGATCAAACTATGAAAGAATGAAATGGAAAGGCGACCATATGTAAAGGGATTCTTTGAATTATCAAGTTGTACAGATAATTAGATTTTGAGGCAAAGGATCAGTTGTTTTTTAGTAAATTATTGTGTCCTGGCCCATCCAATAGCTTATAAAATAACGAGAAATATCATTGGTTCAAAAGTTGTTTTTAATATTAAATTAATTAAAAAAAAGCACAGCATCAAAATAATATTTTTATTTGCGCATTTCTACTTGTTTTATTGCAGCTTCAACCCGTGGAACAAACACTGATGGAGCAGTGCCTAAAGATACTCTTATCATCTTTGCTATTGGAGGGTAAACATTCCTTTTGTTTAACCAGATTGTTACCTGTTTTTGAAGATGCACGTAATATTTTTACTCTACATTTTTCTGTTATGGTGCCTAATTCAATCTTATTCAAAGAAATTTCTGACGGCAAAGTGTTTAATAATTGATAAGAAAAAAAACAGTTTTTAATTGTTGTAATTGATCCTCCATTTAAAGAGGAGGATGTTCGATTCAAAATTCCTTAAAACATTAATCTGAGCTGAAAACCTTAGAATGAGATATCCTTAATCACGATTTCTTAATCTGATTATCCAATGTACACAATTTTTGATTTTTTCTTATAATCCTCTTTTTGGATATTTCTACTGTATAAAAGTTACGTTTGATAACAATTACAGATACAATGCTATATCGATTGGACTAATAACCGATTAAATTAAACAAATATAAATCTAATTACGTTAATATTCAAATATTCCTTAAACCCTTAATCTGATCAATAATATGGAAAAGTCGTATGCCTTGCTTGAAAAATATTTAATTCTGATAATTTCTCAATCGTTTGTGAAGCTAAAACGCAAGTCACTTTTGCAGAGAAACCACACATGAATGAAAACAGTTTACAAAACTACATACTAGAATATGTTGTGTACTTTATAGCTTAGAAAATTCGGGTATTTTGTGTGTTTTTGAATTGGCGATCAATCTCCATTTAAATTTGCACAATACATTTCTTAGGTTATAGGCAAAGTCATAATTTTCAGATATAACAGTTACAATTTAAATGTCAAAGGTAAAACACAAAACAATAAAAATGGCAAATTGCAAAATTGAAATTTGAGGTAAATCGGTCAAGGAGTTTAAAAGTTAAGATCGGGACATACATACACCCTTACACACAGAAATTACTATCTTTGATAAATAAAAAAGATGATTTTTAAATTTTCAAAATATTGCAGATATTATAACTTTACATATATAAGTTAATAATATTCCAACTATTGTAGATATCAATACAGTATTGATCCCAACCCTTGGCAGTGGTTAACTAGTAAGCAAGCTGCTGAAGATATGGCGGTCCAGGTATTTGATTATCTCTAGACATAATTTTAGTGCCATTTACAGAATGGATGCACAATAGTACTGTTGAAAGCTTTGTCCCATCAAGAACGAATGAGATATTGATGTTTCTCTCTTTGAAAATAGTTTTTTTCCAATTGTGAAAATTGTCATAAAGTGAGAAAAGTACAATATCCGTGTAATTATTGATCAAACTACGATTTTTAGGGAGCTGTTGAGAGTCTAAAACGCCCTTTTTAAAAAATGCCCTTGAAATAACAATAACAGCCACTTACCAGAAAACATTTCCGATATTTGTAATGATAATTTTAAATGATTGTGCCCGAATTTGTTAAACCCAAAATTTTAAATTTCTAGTTAAATTTTGTTGTATTTTTTTCTGTAATGCGTTAATTCCAGGTTGCTAAATTTAGAGGTGATTATTGAATAGATTGAATAGATCTAGATATACATATATATATAAATATATATTTATGTATATCTAGATCTATTCAATCTATTCAATAATCATATATATATATACATATATATAGGTTGCTAGATGGAGAGATGACTACGGAATAGATGGAATAGATTTAGATATAGAGGAGGGAGCCGGCGGTCAAACTGCCGCTGGTCCAAACCTTCTTCATTTCATCAGGTAAATAAAACACACACAAAAATTGATTTTTCGGATCTAAGGAAAGGTATTATAGAAATCTCCATTAAAGTGGCATGGTTGATTCACAACGGTACCCTTCAAACATCTCTCTGAGCAAAAATGATGGGAGTTAACCTTATTTTTTATTAAATTCATTACTTTTAATTGTGCACTCTTTGTTTGATAACGAATACCTTGATAAAAACTAAGTAATAATTATTGTGTTAGAAAGCTGAAATCAATCCATCCTGATCTTTTGGTCAGTCAACCTACTTACGGATATCCCCAGGTACTATTTTTTAAAGTAATTTTTTCGTAATCTAGAAAATCCAATAAAAATCTCTTCTTTGCCTTCTGATGGTACATATCTTTGATTTTTTAAACTACTCTTGTACCCAAGGTCAAGCTCGACACAAGAAGTGGTTCATCAATTAGTCTTTGTGACCTTTAACTACGGTGGTAGGCGATTATAGCAATATAATGAAGACGACTTTTATTCAAGTTTTATTTGTTCACGAGCTTTTTTCTAATTACAAATTTAAAGAGAAGCATTTTTAATTGGGTTCAATGTTTTTGTGTATCCATGCTTTTAAAAGCTTGATATATTTAACAATTTTAAATTTAATCAAAAAAGTGGCGTATCCAAAATCCCGAACAGCCAATTAGAAGCCGAGAAATTTTGAAATTTTTTGCCGCGAAATCAATAAGCGAACTCTCATTGGTGCAATCCAGCAGGGATATCCCAAAAAAACAAAAGTGTCGACAGTGGATACATAGATTTAGTAATCAGCATTAAAGGTATCCAATTGACAATTATAAAGTTTTCAGCTCCGTTTTAATAATCATTTCAAAGTTGGAGTTAAAAAAAAATAGAAAAATAATTTTGATGATTTTTTTTTTGTCAGGTAAAAGCTGAGAGTGATGTTATAAATGGAAGCTGGAAGCCAGGAGGTGATTCTACAGGGTTAGCTGATAGTATTGGTGAGTTTAACGAGGATATAAATAAGGAGAGAGGGGGGGAGTACAACTTAGGAGGGGGGGGGGGTAGAAATTAAATCAAATTAAATCTGCGCACAGTGGGTATCAGGATAAACTGATCTGGATTATGAGTATCCTTAAAGTATGTGAGTTAAGGTTTGATGGTGTATGAAGGAACCCAGGCTCTAATCTATGTCAAGAACTATGCTGCTGGATCTTCACAATGGGATGGATTCCCTATAAAGGTATATCATTTTTGGAAATGTTTATGATTTTTAGCCCCAATATCTTTGCAGCCTTATGGTGTAAATCTTTCATATTTTTAAAACTTTAAATGTTTAATATAAGAAGCACTCAATGAACTCATGATTGAAATTATGATTTCAAATTGCGGTCGATCTCCTCGAATGGCTCAGCTACAATTTGCCTAGTCACAATTTGACTAGTCAGAACTTGCTTAGTCAAAACTTGCCTAGGCAAGTTCTGACTAGTCATATTTTGCCTAGTCACAACTTTAGTCACAATTTGCCTAGTTCATTTTTGCCTAGGTAACTTTTTTTCTAGTTCAAGTTTGCCTAGTAACATTTTGCCTAGGTAACACAAGAGCATGTTTTTTGCCTATTGCTTTTTAAAAAAAAACAAATTTTGTCAAAAATTAAACATTTTTTAAAAATTTTAATGAATTAAATCTTATAGCATAATTGAATTGTATCTTGTACAGGTTATATCTTTATTTATCATTATTTATCTTTACATCTTTACCCTAGGCAAAATGTTATCTGGACAAACTGTTACCCAGGCAAAATGTGACTAGGCAAGTTGTAACTAGGCAAAATGTGACTAGGCAAGTTGTAACTAGGCAAAATGTGACTAGGCAAGTTGTAACTAGGCAATATGTGACTAGGCAAGTTGTAACTAGGCAAAATGTGACTAGGCAAGTTGTAACTAGGCAATATGTGACTAGGCAAGTTGTAACTAGGCAAATTGTGACTAGGCAAGTTGTAACTAGGCAAAATGTGACTAGGCAAGTTGTAACTAGGCAAAATGTTAGTAGGCAAAATGTTAGTAGGCAAAATGTTAGTAGGCAAAATGTGACTAGGCAAGTTGTAACTAGGAAAAATGTGACAAGGTAAATTGTGACTAGTCAAGTTGTAACTAGGCAAAATGTGACTAGGCAAATTGTGACTAGGCAAAATGTAGCTGAGCCCCTCGAATGAAGCGACGAATAATAAAATTAAGTTGTGTATGTTGTTAATCATTTTTTGCTTTGGACTGGCTAAAGTCCGGCCGAGCGCTGCGACTAATATACTAAGCTTCCAGGGCGATCTTTTCTTTTAAAATTATCAAAAAATAACAACAAAAAATCGCTGATTTGTCGATTGGATACAAACAAAGTAATAATCTCTGTTTGAAAGTCTGATTAGAACTCTGGAACCCTCAATTTTCCTTAATTTTTGATTTGGAAACTTGGTAGAACCACGAGAATATGCTCTATAGCTTGGATTAAACATTTTAAGTTAATAGGTTTAACTTAATTGAGTTCAGTTTTCAAATTAAAAAAACAAACATAAACATAACAATATTTTTAGGTAGATGTCCCTAAACCGCAGATACTACTAGGTTGCAAGGGTTCCTCTAACCCCTCTGATATCTTGTCCCTGGCTGAAGAGAGTGGAAAGCAGGATTTGATGGGTATAATGGTCTGGTACAGCTCAGTCAGGTAAATATATTTGTTCAGGGACCGAACGTAATGAATTTGAGTTACCTACTGCTGGTTCAAATATTAACCACCAGTTCATTTAAGTTAAAGATAAAGATAAAGGAAGGATTTGAATCCGTGATTCAAATTTGAACGACGCGGCGGCGGTAGTCAGTTCAAATTCGTTAAATTCGGTTCAGCTGTATACTGTACAATGTGAATGGATTGATTACATCTATAGCTTTATATTTCGAAATAATCAATCAATGGAGATGAATAATTTGGGGTGGTTCATATAAGCTGTACAGTGTACAGTGTGCACAGTATTGTCTGAATACACATCTCTCTTCAGTGGGCCCAGTGTTCCAAGGAGGGAGCGTGGCTAACATTTGTTTAAAAATTATGGAAATTATTTTTCCTTTTTAATGGGAATGTTCGCGAAAAATGGAAGAGAGTGTAAGACGAATTAGATTTTTAAATAATCACTACAAATATTACTTCTATCTATTCTGTCAGAAGTAAAGTTTTGATTGATTGATCAAATTATAAAAAAATATCTCAAAGTAAACATGTGATGTGAGTGTACCATCTTAAATATTTTGATCTATGAAATGTTGAAACTTTTCGAATATTTTTAGGAATGGCCTAAAATATGCAGAATCATGGGACTCTACTGGCAGGTATAAAATCATTTTTTTTTTATAATATTTATAATATTTCATCTACGAAGAATACAAAAAAAAAGCTTGTCGAACATTATCTATTTCTGTTTATCCACCCCTCAGCAGTAAAATATTTTGTAAACAAAACTTTTTTATCTTAAGAATATTCAAATCTTTTTAATGTTTCAAAGTAAATTATAGTTTATTATTATTTTTAAGTGACATTTTAAATTAATATGAGGATTAAATTTTGTATATAACGTTTATTTTTAAATAACATTGTAATTTTAAAATGACGTTTAAAACAACCTACTCTGGTTAGGCGGGTCCAAACTACATAGTAAATTGTGATTTTTTTTTTTTGTATTATCTCGTGCTTTGTAGTTGAATAAAAATATGAAATGAAATGAAATGTTCATAATTGACATTTTAATTTTAAAGTGAAATTATAGTTTTAAAACAAGTTTATACTTTTTTATTGGCTTTTAACCTTTCATAATTATATTTTAAGAACGGAAAGTGAAGAAGCATATACTGCTGCAATGGAGTACTTTGCTCAGTTCAACGCAAGAAAATAAGAAATGTGATATATAATTTTATGATTATAAAAAACTTATTTTATTGGCTTAAATTTTATAGGTTTTAGTAATAAATTTTACTTATTAGATGGAAATTAAGAATTTAATGATCATGTTTAAGACCAAGAACGTAATACAAAATTTAATGTTTTATTTAGATTTCAAATAAAGTTACATTGTTTTGTTCAAAAACCTTGACATTTTTTTCTTAATTTAAAAATGCTTTTGCTATTGTTCGATATTACGGAAATACAGATTGTTAAATGTTTTCTAATTTTGTAGGGGGCAAAATTTACTCATTATGATGGATTGTGAACCCTTGGATCTAATTATTACCCGCGAATAAGTTAGTAAGTCCTGAGGGCAGGTTGTTAAGTAGACCCCCTGGTAGACTACTTACTCTGGAGGGTAAATTACCAAGAAGATCACTGTCTCTGGGTAGGTTTATAGGAAGTTGGGGAAAACCATTTCCAACCTGTTGCCTTCCTCCAGGCAGATTATTCATGATTTGAGATACTCCACTATTCAGAAACTGTGAGAGGCCGCTTACCAATTGTGGAAACCGTGATCCTAGCTGTGGAAACTGTGCTCCAATCTGTGATGCTAACTGTGGTAATTGTGCTCCAATCTGTGATAACTGTGGTAGCTCTGACCCTAGCTGCTGAATTTGTGATCCAAGTTGTGGTTGATTACTGTTCTCCTGTACTACACTTATACTGGGTTTCTTATCACATGTGATGGTTGTAGGGTTTCCTAAATATTTAATTTAAATTGAAAATCTGGACAGGGTTTCTTTTTACATGTGGTTACCTACCTGGAACTAAGGGTTCTTGTTAACATATGGTTACCTGGAACTAAGGGTTCTTGTTAACATATGGTTTCCTACCTGGAACTAAGGGTTCTTGTTAACATATGGTTTCCTACCTGGAACTAAGGGTTCTTGTTAACATACGGTTTCCTACCTGGAACTAAGGGTTCTTGTTAACATACGGTTTCCTACCTGGAACTAAGGGTTCTTGTTAACATATGGTTACCTACCTGGAACTAAGGGTTCTTGTTAACATATGGTTTCCTACCTGGAACTAAGGGTTCTTGTTAACATATGGTTTCCTACCTGGAACTAAGGGTTCTTGTTTGCATATGGTTACCTACCTGGAACTAAGGGTTCTTGTTAACATATGGTTTCCTACCTGGTACTAAGGGTTCTTGTTAACATATGGTTTCCTACCTGGAACTAAGGGTCCTTGTTAACATATGGTTACCTACCTGGAACTAAGGGTTCTTGTTAACATATGGTTTCCTACCTGGAACTAAGGGTTCTTGTTAACATATGGTTACCTACCTGGAACTAAGGGTTCTTGTTAACATATGGTTACCTACCTGGAACTAAGGGTTTCTTTTTACATGTGGTTACCTACCTGGAACTAAGGGTTCCTGTTTACATGTGGTTACCTACCTGGACCTAAGGGTTCTTGTTAACATATGGTTTCCTACCTGGAACTAAGGGTTTCTTTTTACATGTGGTTACCTACCTGGACCACAGGGTTCCTGTTTGCGGTTTCCTACCTGGTACTAAGGGTTCTTGTTAACATATGGTTTCCTACCTTGACCAAAGGGTTCCTGTTTACATATGGTTTCCTACCTGGACCACAGGTTTAATGTTTGCATATGGTTTCCTACCTTGGCCACAGGGTTCCTGTTTACATACGGTTTCCTACCTGGACCACAGGATGCCTTTTTTCATGTGATTTCCTACCTGGACCTCAGGGTTCCTGTTTTCATGTGATTTCCAACCTGGATCACAGGGTGCCTGTTTTCATGTGATTTCCTACCTTGACCTCAGGGTTCCTGTCTTCATGTGGTTTCCTACCTGGACCACAGGGTTCCTGTTTTCATGTGGTTTCCTACCTGGACCACAGAGTTTCTGTTTTCATGTGGTTTCCTACCTGGACCACAGGGTTCCTGTTTTCATGTGGTTTCCTACCTGGACCACAGGGTGCCTGTTTTCATGTGTTTTCCTACCTGGGCCACAGGGTTCCTGTTTGCATGTGGTTTCCTATCTGAACCACAGGGTGCCTGTTTGCATGTGGTTTCCTACCTGGACTACAGGGTTCCTGTTTGCATGTGGTTTCCTACCTGGACCACAGGGTGCCTGTTTGCATACGGTTTCGGGTTTTGATCCATCTTGACAAAGAATCTCCAGTGGTTCAATGGCAACTATAATTATAAGTCAGTGATTAAATATAATGTTTAATAATAAGATGATTTATAAATTTTTTAAGTGTTATAAAGTTTGTAAGCTTTGACGCAAAAATCGTTAAGAATTTGTAAAAATAAAGGTAAACCATCTGCTTGAAAGTTTTAAAATGTACATGTCTAGTACTACAAAAGTTAGTTATTGAGTTAAGACCGAGGCGTTGCGACACTATACCGTCAAACCTATCTTGAAAACCTGTCTTGGTAGTCTAAAGATAGGGTAAAGTCCACATGAACAAAAAAATATATAGTCTGTTTCTTTACAAATTAAAATCTAGACGTTTTCGGAGCACGATTATTTGCTATCAACTCATTTGCAATGAACTCACATGCAATCAGCCTCCAGTGCTATCCAAACATTTGATATCAAACTTATTTACCATCAACTCGTTTTGTTGTCTCAAGTAAAGGTTCCAACATTGTTCGGTTTTTCAAAGATGAATAGATGAAGATTTAAGCTTAATACCATATTCCAATATTGTATTATTACTGTTCTCCCTATTTCATTATTATTATGAAATAATATTATTTGAGAAAACTGGGTTTTTAGCAACCAAGAACTGGTATTCATAGCAACTGATTATGAAAGCAATTAGTTTTTGATAGCAACTAATTTGGAAAGCAACAAGTTTATGATAGCAACTAAGAACTTGTTACTTTGTTAGCATCTAAATTTTGATTGCAACGTATTTGCAAGTGCAAAACAGATAGCAAGTGCATTGATAGCAAATGAGGGGATAGCAAGTGAGGCATGATAGTAAATGAGGGGATAGCAAGTGGATTGATAGCAAATGAGGGGATATCAAGTGAGGCATGATAGCAAATGAGGGGATATCAAGTGAGGCATGATAGTGAATGAGGGGATATCAAGTGAGGCATGATAGTAAATGAGGGGATATCAAGTGAGGCATGATAGTGAATGAGGGGATATCAAGTGAGGCATGATAGTGAATGAGGGGATATCAAGTGAGGCATGATAGTGAATGAGGGGATATCAAGTGAGGCATGATAGTAAATGAGGGGATATCAAGTGAGGCATGATAGTAAATGAGGGATATCAAGTGAGTTTAAAGCAAGTGAGTTAGTAAGTAAGCAAATAATCGTGCTCCGTTTTATTTTTTTTAATTTGAATTTTGCTTTTCTGACCCATGCCACCGCCCAAATTTATTGAGCATTATACCCACAACAGATGAGACTTTCGCATGTATTCTTACATTCTTGATTCTTCGCAACTGTAAAGAAATTGAGTTTTTGCCACAAACTCAAATTTTCTAATCCCAATATCTTTGCAACCCAATGTTGTAAACCTTAGATATTTCAAACAAATAATCTAACTTTGAAATATCATAGGCTTACATAATCTAGTTGCAAAGATATAAGGATTATAAAATTTGAGTTTGTGGCAAAGACTCAATTCTTTTGTTTCAGATTTTTGCAGATCATAATCTATATTGTCAAAGACTTCATTTTAGGCCGACGACCAAATTCAACCTTTAGATTCAAAGCGTTTTATGTCGTCAAAATTATTTTTTATTATACAGAATTAACAATTTCACATCTTTCTTCAAATTATAAAATTTTGTTATTTGTAATTTATCTAATTCTGAAGTTGATTCTTGAACCTTTTTTAATCTTCTTTTTAAATATCATTTACATATATGGTTTTATCTAAGTAAATTTTTAATAAACTTTGACTCACCTTTACTTTGTGGAAATGCTAATGTGGGCGCACAAAAGAATAGGACAAGGACGCTATTCATTTCTAAAAATAAGATGTAATTAATTTTATGTGAAATCTATGGTACAACTTTGTGTCCTCATAACTTCTGGATTGGTCAGTTTTGCAAAACCGTTTGCTCTTATGACATCGATGGATTTCTAAAATCCTTTTTTTTTTCTAAGTAAAATTTACCATTTCGACCATACAAAAAGCTTCCCTTGGGTCATGAGAGTTCCCCCAAAGAAATTGGACTAAAATGATTTAAATATAATATTTTTTTTCTTCAGATATCTAATATATTTTATTTAAAATTATTTATAGATTTTTACGCTTTGAACGCTGTTGTTTTTTTATTTTTAAAGAATTTGAAAATCCCCCCCCCCCCATGAACACCTTGATACTTAGAGGAGCGCTGTGAATCAACTGAAACCCATTTATGTTAAAAACATTGTCATAAAAAAAAAAATTATTTACATTTGAATTAAACTCTTTTTTAACTTCCAATATTAGCTTAAACTTTACGGATATAATTTGTTGGTGAAGAATATGAACACTGAATATTGTACGCTGAAGCTGGGATTTTTCTATTTTGGTGCATGCTTGCAAGTCATCTACAGTTCTACAAATCATCCTATGCTGTATTGTTCAGACAAGCCTAGAAAATTGAAAGAACTCATTAGTAAGTATAAGTAAGTTAGTAAGTTAGTAAGTAAGTAAGTAAGTTAGTGAGTAACTTTGTAAGTTGGTAAGTAAGAAGTTCGTAAGTAAGTTAGTAAGGGAATTTTAATTTTTAATATGTAAAGAAATAACATCAATTTTAATTTCAGGATTTCTATCTCTGGAAATTTTTTCTTTGACGTCTAGCAAAGACTACCTCAATAATAATTCATCCATATCCGATTGAAAGACAGCCATAGAAAAACAATTATTCAACTTGCTATTGCTTTTAATTGTAAATCCGCATAATAAAAGTCTGTAAATGAAAATTTAATTAAAATTAAAGAAATGATAAAAGCTCCATTCTTCCAATAATGATTTTGCCGTTAAAAACGCTTTATTTCAGAAAGTACAAAACCTGTAAAATATGAAGCAAAAAGACCATCAAGTTTTTAACATTCAGAATGTTTTAGATATTGTAGCACTAACCATGAATCATTCTTTTGAAATTTTGGACATTTTTGAAATTTATAGAATATTGAAGGTATGTAGCACACAAATTGAAGAAGTAAGAACAGTTTGAAATTTGATATTGTCATTGTGATAAGTAAAAAAAAATTATCATTACATTCACATTTTATGTTTAAAGATTTTAATAAGGATTTATAATAATAAGATAATTAGTCCGAACGTAAATTCAAATGCTCATACAACAAGGTTTTCCGGTCCGATTTTGTACCAGTTTTATTTCACATCATCATGAAATAGAGGAGCAAATTTAAACAGTTTTAAATATTTTAAAAATGTTCATTTAAAATACATATAATCTATTTTTTTAGAGCTATAAAAAGTACTTTTGCAATCAAAACACATTTCTAAATCGTTCTTACGGTTCTGATCTGATAGGTCGATATTTGGAGAATAGGCTTCCCTCCCAAAAAGAAATTTGATATACCAAATCAATTTTCAATTTATAAAATTGGTATTCAAATTTAAATTTCCATAAAAGAAAATGAGGTGTAACATATAAGATTTAGAAATTTTATTTGGGACTTTTTGTAAATCGAGTTTGCAGACGACATATACTCAAAAAAATTGATAACAAATTATGTTTCAAGAATGAAAGAATAAAGCAAAAAACGGACCCAAAAGCATATGTTTTTACTATGCATGAATTGCTTATATATGTAAGCGTGACATAAGTATCAGATTTCTTTCCTAAAACATAATATTTAAATCTAATTAGTGCAGTCAGGCCCTTGCCACAGGATGGCTTTATGCTTTCTAATTTTACTTAGTTTAGTCAATTTTAGGAACATAAAAATTCAAACTCATTTCTCATGTTTACAGTGAGGGTTTTCTAAATATCATTACGGTTGAGATTATGCATCAAATGTGACATATCTTGAATGTTTATATGTATATTTATTATTCGGTTGTAGTACCCACGAGGATAGCCGATGGCTCAAATTGTCTATGTTCAAATCGATCTAATACAGGGTTTCCTTACATTCGTCGGAATTCAGTGACTACTTGTAATTGTTTTTGTCGATACTTTATAAAAAACATTTTTTTCAAGCTTTTCTGCATTTAAAAAGTGGAAATGTTAGAATTTTATACAGTTCATAAGGTTAAAGGGAGTGTTCGGCGAGAAATGAAAGGAGGTATAGGCTTACGGCGAATAATAAGCGCTTTTGATCGCTACTAATCTTACTTCTATCTGTTGCCTCTACAAGGAGAAAATTGCTAAAAACGACTCATTAGTAGTGATCAAAAGCGATTATTTTCGATTATTTTTCGGTGAAAGCCTATACCCCATTTCATTTTTCGCGAACACTCCCATTAAGTTTTGTCATTGTTTATGATATCTCCAAAAATGTTTATAGAGCAGCAAAAGCCGAGCAAATCACAAATTGTAAATACCAAGACTGCCATGAAAATTTTCATCAATTCTCAAGACTGGGTCAACTTTACAGTGTTACAACGCCTTGGACTTTGATTTTACCTTACTTACTCACTCTTCTATTTTTTATAGCCCTTAGAGAGAAATTGAGTCTTTACCACAAGCTTGAATTTTCTAAGCGCTATGTCTTAACAACCAGATGGTGTAAACCTTTTATATTTCAGACTTAGACCATTTGTTCTAATAGAATTAAAGGGACTGTATAATTTTAACACAGTTTTATATCAATTTCTCGAGACAGGAACATCAGATAAAACTTTCATGGGTCGCGATCAAGAGCTAAAGTTATTAGCTTTCAGCCTATACCCCCTTTCATTTTTCCTTTACAGACCCTTTAAGAGTTTGATTGGATGGCAAAGATATATAGGGATTATTGTGACAAAGACTCAATTCCTTTACAATTCAGCATCTCAAAACACCTTGTGTATTAAATCCACCATCGTTGTTTGGAAAGTTAGAAAAGACATTTTTAAGTTCGGCATTAGCTTCGGTAAAACTTAGTTGAATTTTATCCAAAAACTAATTTACCTTTAAAAAACATTAATCTTGTTTTGAACTTTTATTAACACGAAAACAGTGAAATGAGTGGTGAAGGAGCATATTTGTTGAAAACAGACAAAGGATACTTTGTGGCAAAAATTAAACACCAAGGTTAGTTTTTTAGTTTAAAAATGTCAAGTTACCTAGTTAGGATGATAATTCATTAATAACGAGGAAGCTCTTTTTATACCATCACCTTAGGGTTCGGATTGCTCCGTGCATTCAAAATTATAAAGAAAAAGAATTTTTTTTTGGCAAGCCTTTATTACTTTTAAAATTTTCTGCAATTCTGAAAATACCATTTTTCTGGTCGGGGGAGGAGGGGAGGGGGGTGAAGAACATGACCGGCAATTATTGACAAAAATATTCTAAGAATAATTGTTTTTGAATAAAACTTTTGTTTTTATTACAACAAGTGCAGTATTCAATTAGCAATATGTTTACCAAAACAAAGCTATTATTAAAAGTAAAAGTGAGAAAAGTAGTACTGTCTCAACTATACCTACGCTTGTAGGATATTTATAAAGAAGGTTTTTGGAATCGGATTATCGGCTAAAACTGCCATACATTTTTTAAAACTTTTATTTTCTATCAATTAATTTCCTTAAAAATATAATTGAGAAATTCTCCAAAGCTGATGCTTAAATTTTGCAAACTTTAAGTTTGTTTCAAAGATTTTAAACTTCAGACTTATGTTATCATTGGTAGCAACGTTGCTGAATAAGTAAAAAAAAGCTTTACATTTATAGACAAAGATGTTTACGATGACATACATATTAATGACATACAAGCTGAAGTGCCCGGCGTTGCCCGTGCAATAAACAAATTGCAAAAGAAACTTTTTTTTCTAAAATTTCCATCTTAAAAAATTCCCTACAGAAAATCAGTCAATTTGGCAAAAAAAACATTATCTTTTGTGTGGAAGTATGTCTTTTACAATTTTACAATAACAATTTCCATTTGTAGAAGTTGACGAAATTTTGTGGTTTGAAATTTATCCGTTCTCTTTTTGTAAAAGTGTCCATTGCTCTAGAATACTTTCTGTAATCTTCTAACTTCTTGTTTTAAAAGATAAGAATCAAAAACTTTTGGAGAAAAAATCGAATGGTGTAACAACTGAAACTCCAGGTGAGTCAAAGTTTAAAAGAAAGTTTCTGTTTCTGCGCACATTTGTCTTTGTTTACAAAATGAGTGAACGGCAAATCGCAGTTTTTGTATGCAATGAAAAGAAACTTCCAGGAACTTCCAACAAAGATATGATCGTAAATATATATTACTTTAATTACAGGGCGCTTCACGCCCATCTCCTTTTCCACTTTTACAATACCAAAAATAAAATTCGCGGATTTATCATTTTTTTCCTGGATCTTGAAAAATCAGAATTTTTAAAGGTACACATTTTTTAATTCTGACCATCCATAAATCTTCCATGTGGTCATGTAAGGTTCCACAAAAAATTTGGACTGATTCGGTAGAAATGTTTTGACGTTTATCGGATGCAAACGGACAAACAGACAGACAGACAAACAAAGTATATATATGATTGAAGCCTTTTTAATTTTTAACTGACTTATTAAACATAGAAGTTTATACTATTTATGATAATAGGCTCACAGGGCGCTTCTAGCATTTCCTCTTCTATGAAACAATAATGACAAATTTTGCAGATTTATAATTTTGCTTTCGTTGATCTTCAAAATTTTACGAAAATCATAACTTTTTTTTATTCTGAGCATCCATAAACGTTCCCTTGGCTGGGTCCCAAAACAAAATTGGGCCCGATCAGTTCCGCCGCTTAGACGTTTATTGGATACTAGCTGAAAGATCTGGCGTTGCCCGTGAAAAAAAATATTTGAAAAAAATACGAATCTTTTTAAGCCTATATCACAAAAAATTTCAGCCCAATCGGTCCAGCCGTTTGGCCGGCCATAGCNAAAAAATATTTGAAAAAAAAATTTTAAAAAAAAATTGTTTTATTATATAGACAAACAGACAGACAGACAAGCAAAATATATAAATAGATAGTTATGGGACTATAGCACTAAATTAAAAAATATAAATAAATCGCCATTTTTTAAAAACATTTTTGCAGAAGTCCCAAGCACGAGTGCTACTACAGCACCTACAACTCCTAAAAATGAACAATATGAAGAGGTTAAAGGTATCTATTTTAAAGGGACTGATAATCAGTTTTATCTAAGATAAAGATAAGTTAATGTTTCAATTTCTAACGGTAATGAATTGATTCTTCGCCACAAACTTAAATTTTCTAATTACTATCTCTTTTGAAGCTGATGGTGTACAAGTTTGACATTATACAAATTAGATTTGATTTAACAGAATTCATAGTTTGAAATATCTAAGATCTACGACATTGCGTTTAAAAGATGGTTAAAAAATCAGGGTTTTTGGCGGCAATGCAAACACTCAATTCTTTTCAGGATAAAAAAACAAAAATCAAAAACCTCAGTTAAAACTGCATGTCTCTAATGATAGCACTCTTTTAAAAAATTGTCATTTATTGAAGCACAATGCATTTACATTCTTCTACACTACATGCCAAGTTTTTTATTGATCACCTAATGAAATTAGAAGTATTGTCTTCTTTTTCACAAACCAAGTAGGTGAAACATATTTTAAAAATGATCCACCTTATTGAAATTATTAAATTAGACAAATATATTCTAATAATCTTAAATAATTCAATTAGGATTTGTTTTATAAATTTAAATACACAAATATATACAATTTCTTACCATAATATCTTAACGAATATTTTCTTTACAAATTCATTATAAAGAAATTGAGTCTTTTCCACAATTATCCTTATATCTTTGCAACCTACTGGTGAAGGTTTGTGAAATTTTAAACTTAGATCATTTGGTTTAACAGAATTCACAGTTTGAAATATCTAAGGTCTACAACATTGGGTTTCAAAGATAAAGTGACTAGAAAATAATGGTTTGTGGAAAAGACTCAATTCCTAATCATCTAAATTATTTTTTTTTATTTTTCAGAGAAGGGAAATGATTACAGCGAAGATATGGAAGAAGGAAAGTCATTAAATTTCAATAATTCATTACTTATCATAAATTTTTCATCTAAAATTAATTTTATCCCTTTATAATTTTATTCTTTCATTCATTTACACTTGATCCTTTCATTCATTCATTTTTTATACTTGATCCTTTTATTCTTTCACTCTTTCATTCTTGGTCCTTTTATTATTTTATTCTTATATACTTGACTCTTTTATGCTTGATCCTTTTATTCTTTCATTCTTTTATTCTTTCATTCTTTTATTCTTAATCCTTTTATTCTTTTATTCTTTTATTCTTTTATTCTTGATCCTTTTATTCTTTCATTCTTTTATTCTTGATCCTTTTATTTTTATTTCATTATTTTATACTTGATCCTTTAATTCTTTCCTTCTTTTATGCTTGATCTTTTTATTCTTTCATTCTTTTATACTTGATCCTTTTATTCTTTCATTCTTTTATTCTTCATCCTTTTATTCTTTCATTCTTTTATGCTTGATCCTTTTATTCTTTCATTCTTTTATTCTTGATCATTTTATTCTTGATCCTTTTATTCTTTTATTCTTTTATTCTTGATCCTTTTATTCTTTCATTCTTTTATTCTTGATCCTTTTATTCTTTTATTCTATTATTCTTGATTTCATTCTTTTTCTTGATCCTTTTATTCTTTTATTCTTTTATTCTTGATTCTTTTATTCTTTTATACCTGAAGCTTTTATTGTTTTATTCTTTTATTCTTGATCCTTCTCTTCTTTCATCCTTTTATTCTTGATCCTTTTATTCTTTCATTCTTTTATTCTTGATCCTTTTATCCTTTTATTCTTTTATTCTTGATCCTTTTATTCTTTTATTCTTTTATACTTGATCCTTTTATTCTTTCATTCTTTTATGCTTGATCCTTTTATTCTTTCATTCTTTTATACTCGATCCTTTTATTCTTTCATTCTTTTATTCTTGATCCTTTTATTCTTTCTTTTATTCTTGATCCTTTTATTCTTTCATTCTTTTATTCTTGATCCTTTTATTCTTTTATTCTTTTATTCTTGATCCTTTTATTCTTCCATTCTTTTATTCTTGATCCTTTTATTCTTTTATTCTTTTATTCTTGATCCTTTTATTCTTTTATTCTTTTATTCTTGATCCTTTTATTCTTTTATACCTGAAGCTTTTATTGTTTTATTCTTTTATTCTTAATCCTTCTCTTCTTTCATTCTTTTATACTTGATCCTTTTATTCTTTCATTCTTTTATTCTTTTATTCTTTTATTCTTGATCCTTTTATTCTTTTATTCTTTTATTCTTTTATTCTTTTATTCTTGATCCTTTTATTCTTCCATTCTTTTATTTTTGATCCTTTTATTCTTTCGTTCGTTTATACTTGATTCGTTTATTCTTTTATTCTTGTATGTATACTTGATCCTTTTATTCTTTTGCTCGTGATCCTTTTATTATTTCATTCTTTTATTCTTGATCCTTTTATTCTTTCGTTCTTTTATACTTGATCCTTTTATTCTTTTATAAATCATCTTTTCATTCTTAAATTCTTTTATCATTTTATTCTTACTTCTTTTCAACCTTTCATCCTTTAATCCTTTTATTCTTTAATCTTTTCAACTTTTATTTCTCTTTGATTTCCCTTTCAATCATTAACACTTTCAATTATGCAACGAAGAAATAAAGTATTTACTATTAGTTTTTCCTTTTACGCAATTGATAAAAAAGTTCCAAGTGAAAGAAAACGAACATAGTTTTGAATAAAAAGAAGTCATTAAAACTAATATTCAGAAAGTGATGGAGGGGAAGATGAAAATGAACTAAGTTCATTAGAAAACATTTTGCGTAAGTTTGAATAATTTATAATTTTTAGTTTTTTATTTTAAATTCATCATTTGGAATCATCTTATCGTAGAGGTTTATGAAAAAGTCAGTATAGTAAGATGTTGTAAATCTTTGATATTTCTAACTTTAAAAATATTATCTGGTAGATTTCATAGTTTGGAATATCTACGGTCTACGTCATCAGGTTTCCCCACAGTTCACCAACTAGACTCCACCAGACAGAATTAGAATGTAAAAATTTAAGACATTACTGGTATGAATTTGTGACCTCTTAGCCCCAACAGTTTTGATTTTACACATAAGTATAAGAGTATGAAAATAAGAAAAGAAATTGAGTTTTTGACCCAAACTCACATGTTCTTATCACTTTATCTTTGTATCCTGCTGGTGTAAAACTTTTTAATTGCTAACTGAAAATATTTGATCTAACAGAATTAGTAGTTTAAAAAGGTCTACGACATTCGGTTCTAAAGATATAGGAATTAAAATTAATCTAATTTTGTGGCAAAGACTCAATTTCTTTATTTAGTTAAATACAGTTGTCAGTATAGATAAAATGAACAAAATCGTTTAATGAAATGCATGGGGACATAGTACAGACTACAGAGACTGAACAAAGTACAGTATCCGGACCGAAATATTACATAAAATAGAGTAGGCAGTGTATATAACCGATACTTAACTAGACATTTAAATATTTCTTCTCAAATCTTAATAACTCTTCTATAAGAGTGAGTTATGATCTACACAATTTAGCTGAACTAGAGGATGTCCCTGATCAGATCAAGCCAGTGGTCGAGGACGTTAATTCAGGTCAGAATTTTTCCCATTTTTTTATTCAAAATTCCAATTCTTCCACCGGCCGACAAATCATAAAATAAAGAAAAAAAATGACTGTTATAGTAAGTTCGTATTCCTTTAAGCTTTTATTTCTATAACTGCATCAATTTTTTTTTGAGAACTGCAGAATATACAAAATCGTGCTCTGAAATTATTATTGCTTATTCAAAAATTTGTAATTATCACTAATTTTTCATAGATTTCATTCATTTTCTTTTTTATGCGTTTATACTACAGAAACTTGGAGTTTTAACTTTTATCAAAACAACTGTGTTGAGGTCATTTTTACATAAATTAGAAAGAAATCTAATGCAAATCTTAGAACTTGCTTCAATAGTCTCATAGCAAGACACACATCTACTAGCTAACATAGTTTTTTCATGTAAGTATTTCACAATACCCTTTCATTAAGGGATCTAACATTTTATCCGAAAACCAAAAGTGGCAAGATCAAGCATTCAACATTATCGTTTTCAACACAAACGTTCTGTGCTAACCTAAGACCTAAGACGAATTAAAAGAATTTGGTTAAGCCGCGTCTCAAGCATGGTTGTTCCATTTGATATCAGTGTTTCGAGATTTTAGCCGGTTCGGCGCTTAATTGGAACCGGTTTTTGGCGGTTCAGCGACTTGATCTAAATTCTTTAAATTTGGCCTCTAATCTCATGTTTTCAGAAATCCAGGAAGAAGAAGAAGTGTACAAACGCTTCAAAGTAGATTTTAAGCTGGTTCACGACAGTGAAGACGCAGATAAGAAACAGAAGAAAAATAAAGTCATGGACAAAGTTGCTGAAAAATTGAGTAAGTAAAAAAGTTAAAAAATTAAAACAATAAAAAGGTTCCTTCACAGTTTTTCAGAATATATCAGCTTCTTCAACAATTGCAAAGTCAAAAATTCTAAGCGACGTAAAACAAGATCAATGAAGAAAATCATTCTACTGTTTTATGGTTCTAACTGTGAGGAAGCGAAAGGATTATAACAAAAAAAGTGACTTAGTAAATAAGATAACTAAAACAATGAAAGAAAACATGTTGGAAACACGTTAAGATTTTTTTTTAAATATCATAAGATGGGTTTAAATATAAAGGAGATGGTATTTTTACTTATTGAAGCATCGGATAAAAAAGAAAGATATGATAAATAATTCAATTAAATTCAACCGTTAGTCCCCATTAATTTTTGCAGACACTTCCTTTAAAGGCTTTTTAATTTCAGAAGGTAAAGGAACAGATTACTCTTTGGATATGTTAGACCTTTTCCTAGCTTCAGAGCAAAGTTCTAGCAAATGTGATATAAGTGCAAGGTTGGTTGCATTATCAACTTTGTGAAAAATAAGAATTAATATTTTGCTTTTGTTTTTCAGATATCGAAGTTTCACAGGTTCCAAAGGATCAAACAAACTTATTTGCTATTTCTATGATAAATTGAGACTTACAGGAACTGGCGACGTTGTGATAAATGCCTCACCATTTAAGAAGCTTCACAATACACTGTTTATAAAATATAATAATGTTATTTTATTTAACATAGTAATTATTTTATATAATTTAATTCCAGACATTCTGAGGTTGGTCGTTAGTGCATGGTAAAATTTTGTGTACATTTTCAAAGTTTCTTTTTTAATTATCCAGCGCTCTAAGGTGATCACTGATCATTTTATTTATTAAAATCAATGTGGCGTTCGAAATTCATAAATAATGAAATGTTGTTGAACAAGGAGGATTAGTTCCAATGGTAATGAATTAGAAGAATTTGGGATTGAGAAATTGAGTTTTTAAATATAAAAAAAAACATTAAAAAACCATCAGTTTTTTTTGACGAAAAGGGTCCTGTAATAACCTATTGATTCCCACACTAGGAGAAAAAGGTAATACAGATAAATTTGTTTTTTCATTATAATTCAACGCAAAAACGCATTGGACAATTTTAATTGCCAATTAATAGTCTATATATAACGACAATACATCATTAAATTTTTGACTATATAACTATTCTAAAAGTCTGATTTCCATATGAAAATTAATTTTTTAAATTTTAAATTTAGATTTTATGTTTCGAAGAGTTCTCCCCCATACATACATCTTAGGTAAAAATAATAATTTTCATGTTGAATAATAAAAAATTCTTAGAAGCGATATTTGACAAACAGAAGATAAAATCATTAATCCAAAGGTCATAATGTTTCCAAGCTTGACTTATCAGGAAGAATAGAACTGAGAAGATTTAGTAAAAATAAATTTTTACAAACATTTAAATAATTCAAATTAAATTTTTTTTTCAAATATTTTAACCAAAAAGTCCGTAAACTATAGTTTGATAAGGCTTCTAGAATGGACTTTGATTTAATTTTGCAATTTTGATTGACCCTCAATTAAAAAATCCGGGCATGCAACGCTTTAAATGGAGTTTATTTAACTCTCCATGTCCGATTCACTACGGTACCTGTAAACCCAAATCTGATCGATAAATTAGAAGATATCGTTGTTTTTCTAGTTTGAAAAGTTTTAAAATCTGATTATGTCTAAATTGTTTTCTGAAGTAGAAACAAAAATAAAAAATCATTTTTATAAAAGATAAACTTGGATCTCTTATTCCTACTTCAGGTTTAGTTTACATGTCGCTCTTTCAAAATGGAGGTTATTAGAGAGTTTTTTTTCTTGCGGGTTCTCATTTTTCAGACCCTGAGAGATATTTGAAAAAAATAAAGTTCTTTCTTTGACCCCATTAATCCATTAATTATACAGATGAGCCTGGCACTTATGCAACTCCACGTGGAGGATATAATTCTTCTCTTCCTAACCCAAGAAAACTCAGTTTAGTTTTTCATCATGAGCTGCCTTTGCATGCTAGACCAAAGGTAGAAGGAAACTAGTTTTTAAAATACTGTTTATAGTTTATCATTACTTGTTGTTAGTGTATTTCCAGCAATTATAAGTTTCATTTTCCCAACGGCCCTCTCAAGATAAAACTAGGCGATCTCATAACACAAGCAAAGTTTTGATAAAATAGTAAACTTCTATAAAAAAGTAAAGGCACAAATTATCTGAAAGTTCTAGTGATAACCAGAAAACTCTAGAATTGGAAGACAACTTTTAGAATCAAGTTATAACTTTAAAATGTTCACGATGGGCACGAGACACAGCAATTATGTTGTTAAAACAGATCAATTTCACTATTTCACTTTGTAATATCCAAAACACGCAAGTATCGCTATTGTGTCGATTTCCTATTCCATTGTTATCTGGTTATCACTGTATAAAATATGTTCTACATTAAATATCATAAAAAGTTAAATGATGTGTCCTAGATTAAATATCCTTTAAATTACATAATGTTCCTGGGGAACGATTGTTCATTCACAGGAACGAATGGCATTATCAAGAACTGTTGCCATCGTTCCAAAAAAGAACGAACACAGAGAACGTGTTCTTAAAAATATTGGAATGATCTATAAATTACCGAACGGTTGAAAAGAACGATCTGGAATCGCTAACATTAACAATCAGGAACTAGTTCTAAATCTAAAGGAATGGAGTCTTTGCCGCAAACTCAATTTTTTATCCCTATATTTTTGCAACCTGATGCTGCAACCTTTGTTTATTTCAAACTTAGATCTAACAGGATCTATAGTTTGGAATTTCAAAGGGCTCCGACAAAGATTGCAAAGATTAAAAGGAACTGAGTTCTTGCCACCAATTCTAATATTCAAATCCATACGTCTTAGCATCCTGATGGTGTAATCTTTTGACATCTTATCTTAAAGAATTCATAGGTTAGGTTAGGTTAGGTTAGGTTAGGTTAGGTTAGGTTAGGTTAGGTTAGGTTAAAAAATAAACGGTCCGACACCGGATTTCAAAGATATTGGGCTAGAAAAATTAGTTAGTTAGAGTCTGATGAAATAACTTATTTCTTTTGGACTAGTGGCAAGACTCAATTTTTTTCCATCCCCATATTATTTTGATTTTTGAATTGAGATAGGGGACTGTTATACTATAATATAATCTAGGATAAAGATTCTAAAATTATATAATGTGTTCTAGGATAAAGATCCTGAAAATTATATAATACAGATGTTCTAGGATAATAATTCTTAATATTGTATAATGTGTTCTAGGATAAAGATTCTAAAAATTATATAATGTGTTCTAGGATAAAGATTCTTAAAATTGTATAATGTGTTCTAGGATAAAAATTATTAATATTTTATAATATGTTCTAGGATAAAGATTCTAAATATTGTATAATATGTTCTAGGATAAAGATTCTGAAAATTATATAATACAGATGTTCTAGGATAATGATTCTGAAAATAGTATAATGTGTTCTAGGATAAAGATCCTGAAAATTATATAATACAGATGTTCTAGGATAATAATTCTTAATATTGTATAATGTGTTCTAGGATATAGATTCTAAAAATTATATAGTGTGTTCTAGGATAAAGATTCTTAATATTTCATATTTTTTCATATTTTTATTCAACTACAAAGCACGAGATAATACAAATAAAAAAATCACAATTTACTATGTAGTTTGGACCCGCCTAACCAGAGTAGGTTGTTTTANATGTGTTCTAGGATAAAGATTTTTAATATTGTATAATGTGTTCTAGGATAAAGATTTTTAATATTGTATAATGTGTTCTAGGATAAAGATTTTTAATATTGTATAATGTGTTCTAGGATAAAGATTTTTAATATTGTATAATGTGTTCTAGGATAAAGATTTTTAATATTGTATAATGTGTTCTAGGATAAAGATTTTTAATATTGTATAATGTGTTCTAGGATAAAGATTTTTAATATTGTATAATGTGTTCTAGGATAAAGATTTTTAATATTGTATAATGTGTTCTAGGATAAAGATTTTTAATATTGTATAATGTGTTCTAGGATAAAGATTTTTAATATTGTATAATGTGTTCTAGGATAAAGATTTTTAATATTGTATAATGTGTTCTAGGATAAAGATTTTTAATATTGTATAATGTGTTCTAGGATAAAGATTTTTAATATTGTATAATGTCTTTTAGGATAAAGATCCTGATAATCATATAATACAGATGTTCTAGATTTTTAATATTGTATAAAGTGTTCTAGGATAAAGATCCTGATAATCATATAATACAGATGTTTCTAGGATCCTAGGATCCTAAAAACTATAATTTGTTCTAGGATAAAGATTCTGAAAACTATAATTTGTTCTAGGATAAAGATCCTGAAAACTATATTTTGTTCTAGGATAAAGATCCTAAAAACTAAATAAAGATCCTAAAAACTATATTTTGTTCTAGGATAAAGATCCTAAAAACTAAATTTGTTCTAGGATAAAGATCCTGAAACTATAATTTGTTCTAAGATAAAGATTCTGAAAACTATATTTTGTTCTAGGATAAAGATCCTAAAAACTAAATTTGTTCTAGGATAAAGATCCTGAAAACTACAATTTGTTCTAAGATAAAGTTCCTGAAAACTATATTTTGTTCTGGGATAAAGATCTTAAAAACTATAATTTGCTCTAGGATAAAGATCCTGAAAACTATATTTTGTTCTGGGATAAAGATCTTAAAAACTTTAATTTGTTCCAGGATAAAGATCCTGAAAACTATACTTTGTTCTAGGATAAAGATCCTGAAAACTATTATTTGTTCTAGGATAAAGATCCTGAAAACTATAATTTGTTCTAGGATAAAGATCCTGAAAATTATAATTTGTTCTAGGATAAAGATCCTGAAAAGAAAGCTGCGTTCACTTCTGCATTTATATACTTTGGCCAGGCAATATCACATGATATTCATTTTACTCAGTTTAGAAGTAAGTATTTTTTAATTATTATTATTTATTAAATCATATAAGTAAAAATCTATTCTTTCTTATGAATAATTTCTTAACTCAGTTTGTTTTTGAGTTTGCTTTTCTGATAAACCATTGAAAAGGATATTTTTTCCATTTTAGTCACTTAAAGGGACTAAGATGAAATTAGATGTGACTCTCCATTTCTAGAGTGACAAGACCGATATAACTTGAAAGCTTTGGCTAATCAAGAATAATTGAAATATTAATAATCTCCTCTTTGAAAGTTGAATATTATCAATTGTGGGTGCTGCTTCACAAACAATGTGGCGGAAATTGATCAGACCGTTAAAAATTCCCCCTTTTGAATGAAATGTGACTCAAAATAACAATGACAGTCTCATAACAATAATATTATCCAGCTGATATTGATTGTTGTAACCCCGAGCTGCTTGCCGCTGAAAAAACTGTTCCTCAAGAAGATCGTCTTTGTTTCCCTGTAAACTTGGAGGAATCAGATGTTTTAAAGCGACCTTGTATTCCTCTCATTAGAGCTACTCCCAGTTGGAAGGTTAGATCTCCATCCCAAAATCAAAGTATTTTTTACTCTGAAAGATATTATTCGATTGGAAACATAATTTTACTTATTAGAATCTGGAGTACTGCAAGCCATAATATAATACTCAATTTATTATATACTATGAAACCTTAAAGATTTTAACTTTCCCAAAATCAAAATTGGTCGAGTTTGCCGTTTTATTCATGTTTGTTTCTATTTGATTTGTGAAAACTGTGCACAGAAGGATGGAAAAACATCCCGTTCATATTTTTATGTTGAATTATTGTGCGCCTGTCTAGTCAAATTGTGCGCACGATATTGACTAATTTAATTTAAAATATAAGTTCAAATTGTAAAGATAAATCTTAATATCAGAACTCTAAAGAAATTGAGTCTTTGCCACAAACTCTGATTTTCTAATCCTTTGATCTTTTCAGCCTTAGGTTTGGATTATGTTAGATCAATTAATCTATGTGGGAAACATCAAAGGGTTACATCATCTGGTTGCAAAGTTATAGGAATTATAAACTTGGAGTTTGTTGCAAGGACTCAGTTCCTTTGTTGAATCAAGATGCGTATTTTAGCTGGAGCCTGGAACCCCAAACGATATAGTTTTTAACTGTTTTGGTTTGTTAAGGATATGTCTGGGGGACGGGAGAGAAATCCAACAAATCTTGTCAGCTCATTTATAGGAAATACATTTATTTAAATATACTATGGTCCTGTACAAAAATTTTAAAAAGAACTTTCCTGTATTTTGAATGAAAAAAATGCAATCAAGTGATTCTAAAAAGATAAAAAATGCGAAAACAAATAATTTCTAGTTTGCAAGAAAGTAAAAAGTGTCCCAATAACCATGAGAATCAAAACTGACAACTGCTATAGCCTGTCAAAACTGATATCATTAATTCTATCGCAGGACTATATACATAATGAATTTGAACTGCCTACCACTTGCTCAAATTTGAATCACTGATTCAAATTCTTCCTTGATATTTTAATTTGATCGAATCGATATTTCAAATTTGAACCGCATGGTAACTAGTAGACAAGGTAGCTCAGTGACGTAGCTCAAATTAATTAAATTCAGTCCTCGCATTGTTAAGTTAAACAATTTAGGGCATATTTGAAGAAGATATTGACATTCAAGTCATTTATTGACAGAATTAAAGCAAATGTAATGTCTATAGAAAATGTAGGGCATATTTGAAGAAGATATTAACATTCAAGTCATTTATTGACAGAATTAAAGCAAATGTAATGTCTATAGAAAATGTAGGGCATATTTGAAGAATATGTTGACATTCAAGTCTTTTATTGACAGAATTAAAGCAAATGTAATGTCTATAGAAAAGGCAAAAAAAATAATATTTTCAAAAACAATTCTTAAAAATGTGCTTTCCTGATAAGACGCTTCCTTTGTTTATGGTATTAATGAGGAGAAGAATTTAGCCACCCTTCGAGAAAAAGGTATTTTTGTTATGATTTAAATTTTCTTGTGACACTTTCATTCCTCTGTGCCATGGGCGATATATACAGGGTTAACCACAAAGGTTGAGACTTCTATAGACGACTGTACGGAATTAACACTGTTTGTTTCCTTACATTTAAGATTTTTGCAATCATTTAAAAGACCATTGTCATGGCAGAATACTTTTTCCATTCTCACTCTTTCTGGGTAACCCTGTATCTCCATTATCCTCTGCTTATAAAGTCCCAACATTTTCTTGCTTTATTTAAAACCACTCAAATTACGCTACTGACAATTTTAAAACATTTCCCACCGAGTTTACCAATAAAGCTTTGAGGCAAATCAATCTAAGTATTAAGAGTTATGATCAGACTTACAAACAAACAAACAGAAATTGCTACTTCAAATGAATAGATGACTTTTTTTTAATAAAAAGGAGATGTTTATTTTAGACTCAAAAACTTTATCATTGAAAAAGGCCGTTTTTGTTGCAGTTGATGGTAAAATGAAGGAGAATTCTCAGCATCCAGGGTTTCCAGTTCCATTCCGTTCAGATGAACCCTCAACCTTTCTAATAGGTAGGTTCGTTCAACCTAGGATATAAATAGGAACGGTAAAATCGTTGCAGGTAAATTCCTCCTTTATTTTGAGCCACACCTAACGTAGTGTATAAGCATTACATTATAACTGCGGGTGCACCATGTTTCTTCTTATTGTCTCTGACAGCAGGGATGGGATTTCAATGAAAGAGAAAAAAGAATATGTTTCACAAAATAGGACTGACTGTAGGAGGTCTGCGAAGGTGGTGATTTTTTTTAAAACTCCATTGATATGACAAATTTTATTTTTATACATCATGATCTGATGAAAGTTGTCGATATGACTCCTCTGTATTCCAGGAGACCCAAGAGGAAATATTGCCCTAATGACTCCTCTGTATTTCAGAAGATCCAAGAGGAAATATCGCCCCAATGATTCCTCTGTATTTCAGGAGACCCAAGAGGAAATATTGCCCTAATGACTCCTCTGTATTTCAGGAGATCCAAGAGGAAATATCGCTCCAATGACGATGATGTTACAAGCTCTTTGTATAAAGGAACACAATCGTCTTGCAGGTGGGTATTTATCATTCTGTAGCAATAACTTGAATAATCCCCAAATGCAAAACACACGGCCAATTTCTTATTCATGTTACCATAGGTACAACAATAGGTCGTTTCTATCTATCTACACTGCTCTGGTAAAGCGTAACCATAGTGTGACTATGGTTCAACCTATAGGTAGAATGTCTAAGAAATTGGCCAATATTCTATCCTACCAAAAAAAGTCGAAAGACGATCATCTAGACGTTAAACTTTATAAAAACTCCACGCGTATATCTACTGCTATAGGTTAATCGTTTTTGAAAACGATCGTTAAAGATCGTGTTTTGTTACGTATTTCAATCGTTTTAAACTTTTAGAAAACGGCTTTTTTAAACCGATCGCTTTTAAAAAAACGATCGTTTTTGAAAAAAAAATTTTATTGACAATTATGTTAATGATCGTTAACGAAGGGTCGTCGTTAACGGTCTTTAACGAAGGGTTGTCGTTAACGATCGTTAGCGAAACTACGAACTTCATAAAAAACGGTCGTTTTTGGAAAAACGATCGTTTTTGAAAAAAAATTACATGTAACTTTATTGAATGTAATCTTACATGAAGTTAAAAAGTTGTGGGGGAGCTAAAACTTCTTGATATTTTCTTAAATACTATTCAATGATAAGTACAGATGCCCTTTTGGTCGGCTTTCTCTCTTCGTTAACGATCGTAAACGAAACGACGATCGTTTTTAAACGACCATTTTTAAAAACGAACTTTTTAAAAAACTATCGTTTTTAAAAACGATCGTTTTGTTTTCGATTTTTCGTCGCCGTTTTCATAACGAAACAATCGTTTTTCAAAAAATGAAAACGTTAACATCCCTTCCGCTAGTTATATTAACTTAAAGAGGTTTGTGTTTATACATTTGTTTATTTCAGAAAATTATATTTCATTTTTACATTGTAAGCTTGTATCATCATTTCGGTTTAGCACGAACATATATCAGTTAAAAAAGCAGATAAAGCATATGAATTTAATTGTTAGTTTAATTAGTTTGACTTAGTGTAGAACAATTTCTTGGGGGTCCTAGTACGTTGCTGTTACCAAGCATAGAAATTTATGTCAGGAAATAATCGTCATCAGGCTCATTTCATGTAGGGTTTTCATCGTAATTGGGAAAACAAAAAATCACAAAATTATTGTCCAACACTGTACAATGTGGCAGAACAAGAAGTAATAACTTCAAATGAACCAGACTTCAAGTTGATATCTGTCCATTTTTTGTGGCAGGAAAAAAATTATAAAAACTTTAACATCTGTTTTATAGAAGACCTCATTTTTTTAAATATCTGATAAAAATCTTAACATACACAATTACAAACGCAGTACAAAGTTATTAATTTTAATTATTTATCTTCAAATTCATTCTGTATGTATCTAATGTATCTATTTCTATGTAAATAAAGTTGTAATTTCTGTTTGTTTGTTTGTTTGTCCAATCATAATTCGAGAACCCCCCTTGACCGATTTATTTTAAATTTTGATTGGGTAACTTGGGAGATTCATGAGAATGTTCTTGTTTTGGGTTTGAGATTCTAAGTTGAGTGGGTCTACTTTTATTGGGAATAATATCTAAATCGTTTATTTACGACAAAGCGCGGGTAAACGGCGCGAGTAACTTTGCTTACCATGGGCAACGCTGGGTTCTGAAGCTAGAATTGGCTGGAGTAACTTTTAGTAACCTTGGGTTCCCAATTGCTAGATATATAAAGTTCTAATCTCAGCTTGTTAGATTGTTTATGTGTCCGATCATAACTTAGAAACAACTTTTCCGATTTGCCTCAAATTTTGATCGGGAAATTCACGGAAATTATTCTAAGCTTGGGTTTGAGATTCTAAGTTGAGTAGGTCTACTTTTATGGGGAAAAATAGCTAAATCGTAATTTACGACAAGGCGCGAGTAAACGGTGCGAGTAGATATGCTTACAGGGGGCAACGCTGGGTTCTGAAGCTAGTTGTAAACATAAAGATGATTAGTTCTGAACTTTTAACATGTTTTAAAAATAAAAAAGCCATTATTTGAATATTAATAAAGAGCTAAATATGAATTTAATCATTATGTCGTTCACTTCTTAAAGAATCTTTTTAAATATCTGCATTTTTACGCCACTTTTTAATCTCAAAATAAGTAACTAATGGAATTATCTAAAATAATGTTTTTGATAAATGTGGTTAAGATATGGTTGTTTGTCATGACAATCAAATTATGTTAAAAGTATTATTAAAGTTATAAGGTGTTAAAGTTAAAGTTTCCCGTCCATAGAAACGTGTGGAATTCTGACAATTTACAGAATTGTCTCTACAGCATAAATCCGCAATTTTCAGTTCGAATAGTCAGGATATCTCAATTTTTAAATGATAAGACGGCATGGACATGCCACAGCCCTATATGAAAAATATATTTTAGGAGAATTAAAACCAAGATTAACAAATTTGCTACAAGACAAAGATCCAGCAGAACAGGATAATATCATTTTCCAGGTAAGTTGGATAAATATATTTCTAAATCAAGTTTGATCAATTCTCTGAAATTAAATTAAATCAATTCATTAAAATCAACTAAGGTCTATTCTTTAAAATCAAGTAATATCAATTCTTCAAAATCAAGTAAGATCGATTCCTCTAAATTAAATTAAATCAATTCCATAAAATCAAGTTGGATCAAATCATAAAACTAAGTCATGGATCAATTTTCTTAAATCATGACACAACAATATTCTAAAATCAAATTGGATCGATTCCCTGAAATTGATAAATTCTCTAAAATCAACTGAATTCCTTAAAATTAAGTTGGACAAATTCTCTGAAATCAATTGGTACTAATTATCTTAAATCAAATTGGATTATTTGGATTAACTCCCTAAAATCAAATTGGAATAATGGAATAATTTCAATTAAATTAAAATGGATCCATTAATAATAATTTAAATTTAAATCAACCAATAATCTTTCATATTTTTCTATTGGAGAATAGAAAACAATGGGATTTTAGTTGTGTTCGTCTTTCGTTAAAAAAACCGGACGGTGTTCAATTTCTAATTGTTATAAATTACATAGTCGAAAAAAATGTCACATTTCAGAAATAATCAGTTTCAAACAGGGGCGGATACAGGATTTAAGTGAGGGGGGGGGGCAAGATTTTTTAGGAACAAAAAATTCATAATTAGGAACAAAAAATTGCGCCGCTGGCGAAATTTTTTTTCGACTGAAAAGACTCAAAAAGAGTCAAAATTAATGACTAAAGACTAAAAAACTAGATCTTTAACTTTTCACACATTATAGTTTATTAAGACAGATATTTTTCCTGTTTGCACTAGGGTTTCTTTCACTTAAGCATGCTATTGAGAATTGCTATTCTGAAAATAGAACAAAAAATTCCAAATTCAGGGGGGGGGCTACGGCCCTCCCTGAATCTGTCAGGGGGGAGCGAATGTCCCCCAGCCCCCCCTGTATCCACCCCTAGTTTCAACTCAATTAAATTATAAACCAAATAAACGACACGATTAAACAAAAAAGAAGATGGTTGATTCCAATGGTTTATGTTTGCCACTGTACAAAATGTTATTTAAAGTTAATTTTTAGGAGGCACGAAGACTGCTGATAGCACAGATTCAGAATATATTTTACAACGACTTTTTAAGAATATTATTCGGTCCCGAGAAATGGGCAAAAAATGGAATCTCTACAGAGGTACGTGTTTTTTTTAAACCATAAAACATACAGTAAGCCGTCTGATTTTTTCTTTTGATAATAAAATGTCGAAAAATATTTTTGTAATTTGCAATTAGCTATAATCTTGTTGATATGTCATGCATGTAGTTGCAACAAAATGGTTCAGAAGAAAAGAAGAAGTTGTAAGAAATAAGAAAATCCACGAAAAGAATGTTGCTGGTAATACCATGAACTGTTCTTTAAGTTAAGAGTGTCTCTGAAAAAAGTGTGTTTAAGCTTTTTAGCCCAATAAACGTCTTCTTATTGTACTAAAAATGTTCCTTTAAGGTACAATGTTTCTGAAAAAGTGATTCGTCGATGTAATGTTTTGCTCTCAAATGCCGTTCTAACCTTCAAAAGTATGCGTCATATTCGAAATTATGCTAAGTCTGTCTCTTTTCCAAAGAATAGTTTATGCTTTTTCGCCTTCTTAGTACAGTGGTATAAAAAACAGAAAACTCTGGAGAAGGATTATTAAAAGTTATGACTTTTAATAATCCAATAATCATACGATACAAAAATCAAATTTACAAGACCTTTGGACTTGTTGGTGTTACAGTGAATCCATTCTTGAATTGGATAGTATATATAATCATTCAAGATGGATAGTATATATACTCATTCTAGGTGGATAGTATATATAATCATTCAAGATGGATAGTGTATATACTCATTCTAGGTGGATAGTATATATAATTATTCAAGATGGATAGTATATATAATCATTCAAGATGGATAGTAAATATAATCATTCAAGATGGATAGTATATATACTCATTCTAGGTGGATAGTATATATAATCATTCTAGGCGGATAGTATATATAATCATTCGTGGATAGTATATATAATATCCTTCTAGGTGGATAGCATATATAATCATTCTAGGTGGATAGTATATTTAATCATTCTAGGTGGATAGTATAAATAATCATTCAAGGCGGATAGGATATATAATATCCTTCTAGGTGGATAGTATATATAATATCCTTCTAGGTGGATAGTATATATAATATCCTTCTAGGTTGATAGAATATATAATATCCTTCTAGGTGGATAGTATATATAATATCCTTCTAGGTGGATAGTATATATAATATTCTTATAGGTGGATAGTATATATAATCCTGAAGTAGATCCGACAATAACATTGGAGTTCAACCATGCATATAGGTCAGGTAGCAAAAATACTTTTTTTTTCGATTTTTAAAGAAATTTTTTGTTAAAAGGTATTTTAGACAAAATTTTAAGTGACTCCATTGTTAAAACTGACCGTCCACTTCAGACACCGTAACCCTGAATTCAGAACAAGAATCATTACTGAGGAATCCATTTTTTTTGTGTAACATTCATGGTTTTACCATATTGACATAACCAATAAACGACATTTGTTATAATATTTTTTTTTAATAAACTAAGGGAAAAAAATTATAAGGCAAATCCTTCAGAAAACATGTTGAGTACGTGTCAAAATATTATGGTGCAATGCTTTAATGTGCAACTATTCTTTCTAGACTTTAATATTAAATTACACTGGTAGTGATACACCCAAAGAGAATAGAAAATATATTAGAGGGGAATTTACTAGGTAAAAAGTTTAAAACGGTCATTTTGTTGTACTGTTTCCATACTGCAGGTGTATTTTACACATTTATGCTATATAACCTTTTGGGCCCTGGAATTAATGTTAAAAGAAAACCAAATTATGAAATAGGCTGGTTTCATAATTGACCAATGATCATTTCACATAGACTCTATGCCTTTCACTTTACAAACGATGATTTTCCGTTATAACTATAAATCAAATGATGTTTTTAATTCTGGCCTGGCCTTTCTTTTATTATATCCTTTTCAAAATGAAAATAATTATTCCAAGAGAATTTTTTTTTCGTCTACGTATTCTCTAATCTCTGGTCAGTGAAGGTGTCAAATATATCCTTTTCAAAATAAAGATATATCTAAATACAGAGGGAAATTCATATTTTCCCTGTATGTATTCTCTACTCTAGCTGTATGGGTATCTAATATATCCTTTTCAAAATTCCGCTCTACATTGAAATGTGCAATGTTAAAAAGAGAAGATGTCCAGAGAGCGAATATTTGACAGCGGGCTGACAACTCTAGTGGATGATAATCATAATTCTTGGAAGCATGGATTGCTCGGAGCCTCTCAGCACCCTTGCATGGTATACAGGCGTCGTTAAAATATAATGAAATTGGAAGTCAATAGATTTATTCTCTTTCCAACTTTCAAACAAAAATATGACCCTATTTGATCCCTGATATTTACGTTGCAACCCTATAAACAGGGTCGCAATGTTAAGTTGCAACCATAGGAATGCAATCTGATTAATTGCGAATCTTTCTGCCAAGCAGTTGCGGGTTTACAACTCCGAAAACATGAATTAGATTTGATTGCTGAACTCAAAACTAAGGGGAAAAATCTTCATAAAATTTGTTTAAAAGTTGAAAAAATGCATATATCTTTATTCACGTGAGGCAACAAGGATGCAATACATATATAGGAGGGAATATTACATTGCCTGCAGGCCTGCAGGCTTTAGGACCCAACAAGGTCTTGTGAAGCCTCGGTAATGATAATATTTCCTTCCATATGTATTGCATCCATAAATCCTATTGCCTCCCTATAATGAACTGATAAATAGTTTTTCTCGATATTTGATGAACAACAATTTTGGTCTAAACGTCGTTTTTTATTCCACTTTATTCTGGTGATTACTAAACGTAGATTTTTTTTTTGGTTTTTTACAAGAATTGACATTAATTTAGAATAGGAAAAAAGTATTAAAGATTTCACGCTGTCAAGATTTCAAATTTTTTTTTTCGTGTATTGTATATTAGCAAGATTAGAGTTTTAAAACAAACGATTATCTTTTTCTAAAACATTTTCTTAAATTTTGTTTTTCTCTTCAAGCGACTGTAAACATAATTATAAGTGACCCTCCCTGCAAATTTGGCAGTGCCCGATTCATAAGGGTACACTTGAAATCTTTATCTAATTAATGATATGGAAGCTTTGATCAGACAAAGGCTTTATAATGTTACCGTTGTGAATCGGGCATTGCCATTTTGTACGGAAGGTCACATAAGTTTAGGCTTTCGGTCATTTAAGAAAAATATTTACATATATAACAAAATATTTTTGTTATTAAATTTTTTGTTTCTTTTTGTTAATTTTCTTTTTTCTTTTTTCGGGTTGCCACTCTATGACCTATTTGAAATTTTATAATGCGTGTTTAATTTTATTTTCACAAATTTTTTTAATTCAGAAATTTGATTCGGAAGTAGTTGATGATCTTACAGATTTTCTGACCATTGAAAGTAAGTGATTTTATAAAAAAGAAAATATTCTCTTCTTAAGTTCATTTAAACGAAACCATATTGTAAATGATTTTCACATTATTTTGTGCCATCAAGCGATTGCTTTAAAAGTACAATTATTTAAAAGTAGTTAATATTTTTGAAGAATAACTTTAAAAGAAAAAGAGGGGTAAAATCACAGTACAATATAATGAGTTAATTGGCTATACTTTTATTTCAATCCTTATGCTTATGTAAGAAAAAATTGAATTTCCGGGCCCCGCCCTTGCAATACATGGTGAGTAACATTTGCAATTGATACCGAGTCAAACCTGACTAACTTTTAACCAGAGTATGCCCAAAGCAAGACTAGAGTTGTGAATTTTTTTGTAGGATACTCATAACCCTGATTGCTTGATCTTCTATGGGAATTTTTTAATTTGTGGATTTGCAGTTCAGTTATTCCTCTTAATTAAACCTCCAATAATACAAGCTAAGGCATATGACAGAGAATTTTTAATTTCCAAATAGAACGGTTTAAATAATTTTCTTAATAGAAACATCGGATGGAAATAAAAGAGTATCCTTAAAGGAATTACTTAGATTATTTGAACGTAATTCATAGTTTGAAATTTCAGAGGTCTACGAAACTGGGTTGCAAATGAAATTAGAAAATTAATATGTAGAATTTTTTGATTTGACTACGCCATATTATATTAATTCATATTTGTTTGTGACAGTCAATCTTAATAATAATAGGGACTAATAATTTAGAGTTTGTGACAAAAAATGAATTCCTTAATAATAATAATTTAACATAAACCCCCATTTCTGATCTACAAGTTTCTCTTTTTAAGGTGGGTCGATAGCACAGGATTTAACAGTTAGGAATATTCAGCGAGGTAAAAGTTTGAAAAATTATACAAATGAAATATGTAAGATAAATTTAACATAAATTTCCATGATTTGTCTTATTTTAATATTGTTAATTCTTGTATTTGAAGTTATTTCGCATTCCATTCCACTACGCAGTGAAAGGGGTGATGGGGTTGAGTGAAAATATGGTTTCTTGAGTTAAGAATCAGATTAAATTTTGTTTTCATCCCTGACTATCCAATTTGAGAATTTTGGTTGGCATTCAAGTGGAGTTATTTTGTAAGGCGCTATTGTTGGAAAGTATTAAAATTACCTAACAATTAAATTGTAATCTTATATCATAGGACGAGATACCGGAACAGGAACTTATTCTCAGTATAGGTACAAATGTTAGTTTTATAGGAATTGAGTCTTTGTTACCAACTATGATTTTCTAACAACTACAATACTTTGCAACCCAATGTCGTAAACCATAGATATTTTAATCTATGTATTGATTCTGTTATATCAAATAATTAAAGTTTTAAATATCAAACATTTACACCATCAGTTCGCAAAGATAAAGGGATTCGAAAGTTTGAATTTATGGCTGAGACTTAGTAACTTAAAGGGTGGCATTTCCGATTCCATTGAATACTCTTTAACTTTTTGTCTGATCAAGGATAGGGTTTCCAGCGAAAAGAAACAAAACGTCTTTCGAAAATTTCGCATTTTTCGCGACCATTTTGCTTTATTTTCGCATTTCGTTAGCTCGCAAAACTGCGAAAATTTCGCAACAAAATGCAAAAATATCGCGAAAAAATAACGCGAAAATTTCGCGATAAAAATAATGCAAAAATTTGGCGAAAAATATAAAGCGAAAAAATAAAGCGAAAATAAGACTTTTTAAAACTTCAAATACTAAGCGAAATTTGCTTCGTTTTTGCTTCATTTATTTTCACGAAAAATGCGAAATTTCGCAAAAAAGTTTGCGAAATGCAGCCAAAAATATTTGCATTTTTCGCAAAAAGGTTTCGTTTGCTGGAAACCTTAATTAAGGATGAAGAAAATATCTTAATTTGTGAAGCTAAAAATTTAACAACTGTTGATGTTCATATGAATTGGATTAATCAGGCTTTCTAGCGAAAAGTGCAAATCTTTACAAGAAAATTTCGCACTTTTCGCGAAATTTTTTTTTGCGTATTATCGCATTTGTTCGCTCGACAAAAATGCGAAAAATAAATTTTTTGTGTTTTTTTCCGAAATTTCGCTTAAATCCGTTTCACGGAAAAACTGCGAAAATTTCGCGAAACGATTTACTCTTTCAATTCCGATATTTTTTTGTGCAATTAATTGTTGAATCTACAACACATATGGTTTTCGCGAAAATTCTTAACGTTTCCTAATAAAAGACAGAACAAAGCCAATAATATTTCCACAGCTTTCTATTAATAATTCTTTTTCCAATTTGTTGTATAATATGTTAAAATACAATAATCTTTATATGGTTAATCTTTACAATTTGAAGATAAGGTTAAAAAGAACAGAAATCTCCATAAAATTCTGTGATCCATTTAACAAAACAACTGTCATCATCATCAACACAATGGTTTTAATTAGATGTTTATACAATCTGTATTTAAAAATAACATTTTTTAAGATAGACAGCCTACCCAGTTTTTAGAATATTACGTAAAGACTAAAGAAATATGTAGTTTGGCAAATATTTTTCCAAGAACACTTTTTTGCTTTTCATTATTTACTTAATGCAAAAATTGTATTATCAGTAGTTGATGTCCCCTTTAATTTCAAACTCTGATTAAAACTTATAACTGAATTTTACTGCTACAAACCAATTAAATGTTACCGACGAATTGGGAATGATAAGAAAACCTCCAACCATGATGAGTTCTGTACTTCTGTAGTATCACTGAAATTGACAGAAGAGTTAAGAGTTATGAGTTTGTTACCTTGTAATTCTTCTATAGTTTTGATTCTAACCACAAATTATAATCCGGTCAAATGGTAGGAACTTGAAACAGTTATTTTTTCTTCTAAACAGCTCTATAAAAAGACAAAAACCTTTTTGTGATTCGCTTTAATTAACGCTGAGAAAATTTTGTATGTTATGTATGTTATTGCATATTACAGTATTGTAATATTAATTTTTATTCATCAGGGAGATGTGTGGACTTTCTCCTCTTACATCGTGGGAAGCTCCTCCTCCTGAAATTTCTGCTGAATTCTGGGCTAGATTCAAGTGAGGGATTTAAAACATATTTTTTTTTACCGCCTTTTGACTAATATTACTAACCAATGATTCTCCCAACAGCGGGGTATTAAGTTACTTACAGTCTCTAGGGAAAATCATGAAAATTAACATTGCACGTTCGCGCATTTTCATCTGAAAAGACAACAAATTGCTTGCACCCACTTTTTTAGGAAAATCTAAATTTTTACTTTAACCATGGTTTCCTCTAATTTTGTCTATTCCTCGCTAATTGCCAAGCTCTCAATGTTTTGTAGGCAACATTGGCCTTTAAATAATAAAAAATACATTTTTTTTGTTTTGAAACAAATCGAAATTGCAACATCAATTAAAGCAACAAAAGCATATGTGTACTGCAAATTATTTGGCAGGAATTATCAAGTCATGACTTTTTATTCAAATACTTTCTTTCATGTTTCTTTAGGTATAACCACGAATAAAATTCTGTCAACTTTTTTTTAGAAAGCTAGTCCTATAAAATCTAAAACTAAATATTTCATGTCATTTGAATATTTCTTTTAGGAAATTAGAAAATTTTTTCGTGTTTGGTTTCTGACTTTCTTCTTATAGATGCACTTAATTAAATCTAATTCAATAATAAAAAAAAATATTTAAAAAATTCTAATTTTTGATTGTGTGAAAATGGTGTGTATACTGGTTTGATTAAGGTCCCAGTATGCATCACCTACTGAAATAGATGTATATATTGGGATGTTAACAGAAAACGTTGAATCTGGAGTCGTTGGTCCAACTATACAATGCATTCTAGGTAGTTTTTTAAGAATAAAAAAGTGTCTGAAGGTTGCTTTGATATTCTATAGATACACAGTACCGGGCGTTGCCCGTGGAAAAATAATTATAATTTTGAAAAAAATGACATTTTTTGAGAAAAAAATGTCGAATTTTTTTAGCCTGTGTTACCCCCGGGATACTCAAAGGTTAAATCAAAAATGTCAGCCCATTCGGTCCAGCCGTTTGTCAAACAATAGCTAACATATATACAAATATAAATGAGCGAAGAGCTTTATTATGTAGATAGATAATTGTTTTTTCTTCTTTAGAAAAGCAGTTTTTAAATTTGAAAACAGGAGACAGATTTTTCTTCACTCACGTTAACGGCACAGGAAGTAGGGGGCTTCAATCCAAAGCAAAAAACACAGTTAGGTAGATTAGATAATCAATTAAACAATCAATTAATTAATACACTGATTCAAAGCAAAACTTTTGGAATAACCTTTTAATAGAGTAATAATAATAAAAATAAAAATGATAATGAGAGTAATGACAATAACAATAATAATTACTAGATGAAGAATTTCAAAAACACTTGAAAAAAAATTCGATTTTTTATGATAGTTCATGATTATAAGGAGAAGTTGTTGATTCATTTATATATCTTGAATAAAATATCTAATATTTGATTTAAAATCTTCTAACACATAATATTTTTGATCAAGGAAAAGAAATATGGGAGATTTATTTTGCGACAATTTGGGTATTCCTAGCGTTACTTCCGATGTATTTAAGTAAGCTATTTATTTGTTGAAAAGATAATTAAGAAATTTTAAACGATTGCACTATATTCCCCAATTAAGCATTGCCAATATTTTTTATTTTCCATAAAACTTCAAATTGTTGAAACGTTTTTTCAGAGAACCTGGACCAGAAAACAGTCTTAAACCCTGCACTGAAAGGAAAATCAGCAAAAATAAAACTAACAAAAATGAAAATCTTTTGAAGGATTTTATGAGTAACTTTTTTAATTATTATGAAAAGTTGCATCAATTTTCAAGAATAATTTGAATAATTTTTTATTTACTTTCTTACCTTTCAGCCTAATTATAATTTTTTTCGGCGCCAAGTCGAATAAACGTTTTAGAGCTGTAAAATTCATGCTTTTAAATTTAGTTTTTAAAAGTTTAAGAGCTTGCAACCTTTGTAACAGTACACTGTATATATATATTTGTCGCTATTTAGTAATAAGTTGAACTTTGATGACATTGTTTCTGAAATATTCAAGGTTAGATTTATCTAGCTGAAAGAATATTTCGAAAGAAAAAATGCGGATTTTCATAGTCTAACAGAAAAGGAAACAAAATAGGAAAATTGAAATAATTCCTTATTTTAATTCAGATCTATTATTCTGAATATTAATCACTTATGTTGCAGTAATGGGTCAGATATAATTTTTTAAAAACGCAATTTATACACTTTGTTTCAATTCAAATCAAGGACACTCAATTGCAATCACTTTGCAATTAAATTGAAATTTTTTAAAATACTTTCTTAGTTTTTAGAAATATTCTATCTATTTTATTAAGGAATATGGAATAGCGGCTCCAGAAGGTAAACGAAAAAAAAATATTGCATGAAACCTCAAGCTGGGACCAAATTTAAAGAATTTGCGGGGTCGCTGAATTGCCTTCTATTGGTTCAAATACTTCCTGAGTCTTTAACTTTGAATTTGTGGTTTAATTTTGAACTGGCATTTGATAGTTCAAATTCATCTAATTCGATCCCTGTTTATTCTTTTTATAAAGATGTTTAAATGTGCGCTCCTATTGGCGTTCTTTAGGGCTATTGAAATTGTTCAGTAAAACTAAACAATTAGGAATACTTACTATTGAGTTGCAATTTCCAACAAATACATTTGAACATTTGATAAAGGAATTCTGAATATATTGACAAACTAATTGAAAAAAGGCTTTGAATTTTTACAGTTTTCTTATATAAGAATTTGGGGGCATATTCTATATATTCTAGAGATCAACCTTCTTCCTTAAAAAAAATGACATTCAAAGATTTTTGGAAAATTATGTTAAATTGGACCGCCAAGTTTCTCTCCGCCCTTTGATATTTTTATCAAAAATTCATGAATTTGCTCCAATTCAGCAATAAAAGTTTGAAAAATGCTGACCCTTTCTCAAAATAACGAGGAAAAGTATTTCAAAGAGGGGGGATGATCTTCATTATACATACCTCTGAGTAAATATACACAAATTAATAATCATAAATCTGTTAAGAAGGTTCTAAGGGGTCTCTTTCTTCAAATAGTACTTCTCCTTCTAACTCATCTGCGTTGGATAGCTCCAAACCATTATCAGATTTGCCAGCACAAAATGGCCCTGCAAATTTCTCTCTGCCCTCTGTGGATTCTTCAGCAATAAATAGCACTGCACCAAATAGTTCTGCACCTTCTGCAGATTTATCTTCACCTCCTGTTGATGCACCAATGCCAAATAGCCCTGCACCATCTGCAGATTCACCTGCACCTTCTACAGGTACATTAAATAGTTCTTTGTCTTCTGCTGATTCACCTGCACCAAATGATTCTTTGCAACCAGATGATTCTTCTGCGCCTTCTGGTGATGCACCTGTACCACATGGTTCTTTACCCTCCGATAACTTGTCCAAACCACAAAGCCCTGCACCTTCTGGCAATGCACCTGTTCCGAACAGTTCTATACCCTCCGATAACTTGTCCAAACCACAAAGCCCTACACCTTCTGTCAATGCACCTGTTCCGCACAGTTCTATACCTTCAGATAACTTGTCTGCACACCAAAGCAGTACACAGTCTAATGATGTGCCTGGGCTTTCATTTAGGGCAGATACTGAAGATTCTACTTCAACTGTAGAAAATGTTCCCACACATGTTGGATCAGATGCAAACTATGAATCTTCTACAGAACCAAGTCCTGGAACACCAAATGGGGATTTCTCAACTCCATTGTCAGGATATACTCCTCAGGAGGCAAATTCAGCAGCACCCACTTCTGAACCAATCATGCATACAGCTTCTCCAGGAATGCCAACTCCTGATGCAGGAATGACTACTCCTGATACAGGAATGACAATTCTTGATACAGGAATGAAAACTTCTGATGCAGGAATGAAAACTCCTTATGCAGGAATGGCTCCTCCTGACTCAGGAATGGCTACTCCTGATACAGGAATGACAACTCCTGATACAGGAATGACTAATCCTCACACAGGAATGTCTACTTCTGATGCAGGAATGACTACTCCTAATACGGGCATGACTACTCCTTACACAGGTATAGTTGATATAGGAATGGTTACTCCAGGTGCAGAATCAACTTCACTGACTACATCTTTGATCACTCCCTCCCCAACGACAAATTCTGGACCCACTTCTTCTACACAAGGTTATGGGTCTCCTACTCCTTATGCAGGTTCAGCTCCCCCACCTCCTCTACAACAACATGCTGTTTCTTCTCTTAACACAGAATCAGCTGCTCCTCCTCCTACGGAAGGATTTACTCCTGCTCCTACGCCTTCTGTTGATAAAGGTTCAACTCTAGGATATGCTGCTCCTTCTCCTGATTCAGGATCTTCTGCTATTCCTTCTCCCATGCATGTTCCCCCTTCCACTCAAGAAAATTCTCCTGATTCAGCTGCTCCAACACCTAATGTGGATGCAGGTTCAACTCAAGGATATGCTGCTCCTTCTCCTGATTCAGGATCTTCTGCTATTCCTCCTCCCATGCATGTTCCCCCTACCACACAAGAAAATTCTCCTGATTCAGCTGCTTCAACACCTAATGTTGATGCAGGTTCAACTCAAGGATATGCTGCTCCTTCTCCTGATTCAGGATCTTCTCCTATTCCTCCTCCCATACATGTTCCCCCTACCACTCAAGAAAATTCTCCTGATTCAGCTGCTTCAACACCTAATGTTGATACAGGTTCAACTCAAGGATATGCTGCTCCTTCTTCTGATTCAGGATCTTCTCCTATTCCTCCTCCCATATATGTTCCCCCTTTCACTCAAGAAAATTCTGCTCCTACTCCCATCGCTCATTCAGCTTCACCTCCTCCTGATCAAGGGTATGGTGCTGAAACAAATGCATCTCCTTATCCACCGGGATATGCTTCCTCTGGTGCTGGTTCTCATCCACCTGCACCTGGACATCATTCTCCTGAAGCTGGTTTGGTCCCTGGATCTGGGTATGGGCAATCTCAAATGTCGGATACTACACCTTCCACTACCACCACACTAGATCAATATTGGTAAAAATACAGATTAATAATGTGTTTCTTACTTGCCATTTATTCAAACATTGTTATTTACCATTATAAACAAAAGGCTTCAAAAATTCAAGCAATTTTTGATCGATGGCATTTTAAAATCTTATCAACCATTTATTAGACAAATAAGTCAACTACTTTAAGTGACCCTACATTTGTAAAGGGGCATGTCCGATTCACTATGCTACCATTTATGCCTTGGTCTGACCAATAACAGCGGAAAAATGTGTGCTAAAAATGTTGTAAATTGGAATGGATATATTTATTATTTGTAACATATTTCTTTATGAATTCAAATATCTTCAAGATATGTAACAAATTTTGAAATTTTAAATGAATATATTTATTTTCTGTGATTCCCAGAATTAAAATAAATAATAATATTATTTAAACACGAAATTATAACATGAAAAAAGGTTTTGAGGATAAATCCGTCATCATTGATAAGTCAAACGTTTTGAATAGAAGGTCATTTAAAAATATGTAAACATGAACTAAAGTTACCACTCAAAGATTAGATTATCTTAATTTATATCTCTTTCTGTTTTTAGGAATACAGCTTTCAGAGGGGCTTTATCTTTCCGTTAAATTTTGTAATCTATAATTGTATAGTTCAAATATATGTGGAGATAATTAAATGTAAATTCATTGTTAGTTTCGAAAAAAAATACAATTTGTGACTCACCCTCAACTAAGCTTTAGGTGTGATCTGCAGTGATTTGTAGTATACTGGCCAAAGAAATAGTAAAATCTAGTGGAGAATGGACGGGTACATTTTCGATTACAACCTTAAAAGGAATTGACTCTTTGCCACAAACTCTGCTTTTCTAAACCCTATATCTTTGGATTCCAATGTCGTAGACCTTAGATATTTCAAACTATGGATTCTGTTAGACAAAATAATATAAGTTTGAAATATCAAAGATTTACGACATTGGGTTCTAAAGATATAGGGATTATAAATACAGAGTTTGTGGCAAAGACTCAATTCCTTTGATATACAGGAATATTAAATACAAGAATCACAAAAAATTCGCAAAATTTAATAAGAAAATTCACAATTTTCGGTTCTGGTTTATTTTTTAAGGAAAGGGTGTAATTTTCAATTGCAGCTTAGTTTCAACTGAACAACGTATATTTTTATATTATAAAAAAGGAAAAGGATATGTTAAAAAACTTTTCCTCAAAAATTCGACCAGAAATTCAAAACTGAAAATTGCGAAATTTCTTGTTACAATTTTGCAAATTTTCTGTGATTCAATCTTTATAAAGTTTAACTTCATTTTGAGAGAAAAAAATGTCGTGATTTTTTTTAAGCCATTGGAGTTCAAAAAAATAAAAATTCCAAAAATATGTTGAAATAATACCATACAGGAGAATTGCACAAGAAAAGGTACAATTTTGCACCAGACGCCACTAATCACACTTTTTTTGACTCACCCTGTATATATTTTAGATATCTACAAATAAAGTCGAACAAAGAAATTGAGTCTTTGCCGCAAACTCTGATTTTCTAATCCCTATATCTGATCAAACTTATGTTGTAGACCTTAGATAAAATATGAGTTCTGTTATATCAAATAGTTCTAGTTTGAAATGTCAAAGGTTTACACAACCAAGTCTGTGTCGCAAAGGTATAGTCATTAGAATATTAGATTTTGCGGCAAATACTCAGTGTCAGTTTCATTTGTAAATGTTCAGCCTTTTAATACACCGTTAGAAATGCAAGCCGATCTTGAAATTGTCGTATTTTAATTCCAATGTTTGTTGGGACACATTATATTGTATTTAAAATACAGTCTGTCCAATTTTTCCTTTTCTAGTTTTTTCCCACAAATCCATTTACATATTCTTTAGAAATAAAAAAACTTAGAAAGTTTGTAATATAACAATATATATTTCATAAAGATAATTCTTTAGCAGCTTCGTCTATAAGAGCAATGAGCTTATCAAAATAATCACTGTAGCTGCTTTCTCCATGTTTTCTCGGACTCTCTGTGATATCAACGCTTGGAAGTTCTACTTTCTTTCGTCGTTCAATATTAAATGTGATGCTGTTTTCGTATTTCTGGGACGTATTCTTTCTGGCTGTTGTTTGAGATATGTTGTATTGCTGTTGATAATTGGTGTCTGATGTCTGGTATTTCAAGCTGTGATGTTGGTTTGCAGTTTCCTTGCCTGCGGCATTTTTGTTGGTTTGCGCATTTTCCCGCGCTTTCCCGGTTTCCGCCATATTGTTTCCCAGATTTTCATGTGAAGGTTCTTTTTCATTGGAAACATGGGACTCGGCATTATTTTGTTCAACCAACAAAGTTTTATGACTCACGTACATTTTTGGACTTACAGACTTGTCATCATCCGTTTCATATTCACTCTTATCAGTAAAAGCTCCGCCATTTCTAAATAACATGAAGATATTTTACAATTGTTGTCCAGTGGATTAGTTCTCGACATTTGAGTTATAGTGTATTAGTTTATCGGGGATTGTTTTGATTCTTAAAAAGTGTTGATGCGTAAATGCAGAAATGTACTTTGCGTATTTTGTAAAATATGTTTTCCTTGAAAAGCGTTGCATAGGAGAGCTTAGTTTGATAAGGTCCGGCCTAAAAAAGAGATAATGTAAACAAAATTATTAATCTCAAGAAAAAAACAGCTTGAGAGAGATCCCTGTTCCCCTTCCCCCTTCCTCCTCCCACAGAAAAAAAATTCTAAGCCCTGATTTGAAAGTTTAATTGATACAGGTGCACCTTTATTCAACTTAAATAAGATCAAAGATGTAAATTATATATTGTAGATATTCAATTATTTGTTTCCATTTTCCTGTATAGAAGGTTATATATGTTTTTCTTATCAGAGTTCTCACACCTCTCTGCTTTAGACCTATATTAAAAATGTGTTATAAATATAATAAATAAAAGAAAATTTACACAAGAAAAAGAACAAAAAGTTATTATAAATACTAGGATTAAGAAACAGAACAATAACATAGAACCAGCACAAAATCATGAATAAAAGCAATAATTCTAACAAGAACAAGTCAAAGAACAAGTAAAATATCAAGCACAATATCAAAAAAAACACTAACATGAGCAAGAACAGCAACTTAACAAGTAAAAAACAAGAGCAGTATTACTCAAGCTTGTCAACGCATTTAAAAAGAATGACAATAGCAAGACCAATAACATGAACAAGAAGAAGAACAAGAACACGATCATGAACAAGAACAAGAATAAAAAAAGTAAGATGATGAGGTGTGACCTGGGGTATGAACGTATCCATCCTGAGGTTGGAGAAGGTCTGATCCAACCAGGAGATGTAAAAGATGGAGAACATGATCGTCTACTCACCAGATTGCAATGAAATATTATTTTTCAAAATAAATCAAGATAAACACAATAAATAATAAACAGGGTATATTCTGACTGAATACATTACAAAGTTAGTATAACTTAGCTTTTTGTTTTCTTTAACTATCAAATCTACATGATAATTCTAAAATTTAGTTTTGGTAAAACTTAAATAATTGCCATTTCTTTGTTGAAAACGGCTGAACCGATAAAACGTGAACTCACACTGAGCTAAAAGGATGATCTTTGGCTAGTCTTAATTGAATTAATCTACTTAAAAAGATATCTTCAAAATTAGCCCAAACATTTGTGCGTTTCGACATTTGAACGTCTTTTTAAGAACAATATGAACATTAAACATATGTTTTTTTTGCGTCCAAGAAAACAGAGTATTTTTACAACTAAAATAATTGCCGAATAATTATAATAGTCATATTATACAATCAACACTATATTAGTAAAATTTCAACATTTTGTTCGTTAAATTGGACTTTATCGACAGATTTTCAAATCTACGAACTTTTTGTTGGAGATTATGAATAGAATGTTAGGAATATCTCACCCTTTTCCTCTAACATCTAAAATTCTGAAATGTGTTTAGTATGTTTCATAAAGAATTTGTTAACGTTTTTTCTTCCAATGTTGACTAACCATCACTTCCTAGGAATCAAGTGCAACATCAAAATGTCGGAATTAAAAAAATAGTTTAAAAATTTGAATTTGCAAGTTTCCTGGAGAGTAGAGGAGTGTTTGGACAAGATCTTCCCTTTTTACTCCCTGGGCTCATATAGTCACCTCAAAACAAACAAAATATTTACATAATTTATTTAGAACAAATATATAACTGAAAATATTCCGATACAGATAGGATGCTTTGTTAGTCAGTTTTGAGTTGCTTGACAAAAACAATGACAGACTCTTTAAATTCCAATCGTAAAACCTCACTTTACCATGGTAACCTCTTTTAAGCTTATTAAGGTCAATTTTTGTTGACCTAAATCAGTTTCGTCAATTAAAATTTTCAGCTCTGCCACTATTTCATTTTTAGATATCAATTGTTTGTACTTTTGTCCCCGTTAAATGGCTTGTGCTTGTTTTCCTTATAAACAATTGTTTCATGCTTGCTAAAAATTATAAAGAAATTATTTAAATTGTTTCCTACACACAAATATGTATCTTCATCTACATCTACATCTGTTTGTCTGTTTGTTTGTGTGTATCAAATAAACGTCAAAACGGTAGAACTGATCAGGCCAAAATTTGTGCGGGACCTCACGTGACCCAAGGGAAGGTTTACGGATGATTGAATTTTTAAAAATTCGATCATCCTTAAACCTTCCCTGATTTCGATTTTTTTAAATTTTGAAAATCCACGTTTTTCCATGTATACAAAGAGAAATGTTCACAATTAAAATAGAAGATGAGCGCGAAACACCCTAAAAGCCTAGTATATAATAATTCATTTAAATATACAAAGAATTCATCATAATCTAAAAACTTCAATGTCACTAATTTTTTTATGAGTTTCAATTGCTGAAAGCTTCAAGGGTACCGAGGTTAATTGAGCATATAACTTACTTGGAGGAATACTGAAAGTTATGGAGAAAGCCCATTTCAGTTTTATGATTCATGATATAATTGTAAGTTTTCCTTAATTTTCCTGAAATACGTTTTTTTCTTCACAAAATTAAAGATTTGGTAAGGTATCATTTGTAAATCACAGGAACTCACTTAATCTCTATATATACTTTGCTTGTCTGTCTGTTTGTTTGTTTCCAAAAAACGCCAAACCGGCTGAACCGATCGGGCCCAAATTTTGTGTGAAACTTAACATGTCCCTAGGAAAGGTTTAGATATAATCAGAATTCGAAAAAATTGCCGCCAACAAAATTCGATTTCCATTAAATTTTGAAACCCAACGAAACTTTACTTTACTCTTGAAAATCCGCCAAAATTTGTTTGTTTTTGTTTTACAATAAATACAAAGAGAAAATGTTCACAGCCTAGTTTTTATATATTTCTATTAGAGATCTATGCCATACAAATCTTATCATAAAAATGTCCATTCCTCAATTTCTCAATTTCATGTGAATTCTTAAGTTTTTAAAGCAAATCATTTTACCATTAATTTGCAAATCAATTTAATAAAAGATATGGGTATGAGGTCGTGGATACTGCACAATTGCATGTTCAATGGACTTTTTAAAATCATAACTTCCCGCCGGCTAACTGTAGCCATTATATTCCACAGTTTTAAGAGTTCCACTTAATAATACTTACCAATGCTGTAGTAATCACTCATTTGTGAGTTCGGCCTCGATGAATCTAGGCTAGAGATGTAGATACTCGAGGTCGTAGATTCATCCGGGGAATCCATCCTCTAATTAAATTTAAAGTAGATTTTACAAAATAAATCTTTAACATTTTTCAGTCTCTAAAATATTTGAATTAGATTTTACAAAAAAAATCCATTTACATTTTTTAGTCTCTAAAATATTTGAAGCAGATTTTAAAAAAATAAATAACATATTTCAGCCTCTATGATATTAAAGTAGATTTTTCACAATATTATAAAATTTTAAGTAGATTTTACAAATGAAAAAGCTTGTTGATTTTTTTTAGCCTCTCAAATATTTATAGTAGATTTTTTCAAAAAATCACATTTAAATTCTTTCGCCCGTTTACAAGTTCTAAATCAAACTTTGCGATTAGATAAAACCTGATATCCAATCAGTAATTACTAGGTCTTTTTTTTATTCAATTAAACAATGGCCATGGACCAATATTAAGAAATATGTAAATTGCATCGGCATGGCATGAGTATGACTGACTTTTATGTGGAAAACGACATCAGATTTTGTTTGTTTCAGTTTTCTTCGTAATGTTTTAACACCTGTGTTGTGTACTCCATTATGACACTTTATCGCTAATTTTGAAACTGATCTCTCATTGGTCGCATTTGATTGTATATCAAGCACTTGTTGGTCGAATCTGAAAAGGTTAAGTTTAACAAGTGATCAGAATGTATTTAAAGTTCCTGGCTCAAAACAAATATTTTTCCCGCCAAAATTAATGATGAAAGATAAGAAACAGGATCGATTGACGTAAAAACACTATACTAGATTTATATTTATATTACGAGCTCTTTATGCCATCCTTCAGTTCTCCCCCCTATAAGATCATTTTCGTGTCACCTTCAATTCCAACATCAGTATTAATATTTCTCAAAATGTGAAATATTTCTACTGACATTTTGTCTGGAAATACATATAAGCAATTTTTCAAACCAAGCTATGAACTATCTCGTGGTAATTCCACTCAAAAGGAACTGAGTTTTTGTCACAAACTCTGATTTTCTAATCCCAATATCTTTGCATTTCAATGTCGAGGACCTTAGATATTTCAAACAATGAATCATTTTAGATCAAAAATGATAGTTTGAAATATCTAAGGCTTACATCATCAGGTTGCAAAATTATAGCAATTGTAAAATCAGAATTTGTGGCAAAAACTCAGTTCCTTTTAGGAAAATCGTTCATGAGTTATAATCGAACAAACAAACAAACAGCGAGAAAAACCGTTTAATTGCTTCTTTATTTATGCAGGTACGGGTTTAACCAAAAATTACAGTGGAATTATTTACGCCATCTTTCTTTTCAATACGCAGTTTAACAAAGTGTTTTCATTTGTTTATATGAAAAAATGTGCCCTAAACATTGCGTGTCATTATCACCCTGTTTTGTGGTAAAGCTACTAAAAATAAAATAAATCTTTTGGAAACAATCTGTCAGACGAACCCGTAGTATTTTGTTTGTGCAGTGGCAGCTACTTATCTAAAGCATTTATAGTAAATAGAAATATTCTATTCGAAGTTACGTACAGAATGTTAAGGAGTTTGAATTTGGGAGATATACAATACATTCTGTTATAACTTAGCACATTATGATCGTAATTTAGAACATCAATTTCGTAATTTAGAACAAAATAATCGTAATTTAGCACATTATGTTCGTAATTTTGAACAAAATAATCGTAATTTAGCACATTATGTTCGTAATTTTGAACAAAATAATCGTAATTTAGCACATTATATTCGTAATATAGAAAAATATGTTCGTATTTAAGAACAAAATGTTCGTCAATTCGAACTGCTTTCAATCGTTCCATATTACGAAAAAAGTGTTTAAAGTTATAAGTGCAAGAGATGCTACCTGGAAAAAGTTTGAATATGGTGAACTAGTTGACGTTGTGGACCTCAAGGAGGTTATCTGACCCCCTAATCCCTCCCTGGCGGTCAGAGGTGAGTTGGTGGGTCTGGGTGTAGACCGGGAGGTCACAGGGGCACCAGGTTGAGGGGAGGGGGTCCAGGGAGAGTAGAGGGGACCAGGGGTTACTTGTGGAGAGTAGAGGTGTAAACTATATAACAACATAAACATTGATATTTAATAAATTCTTTAAAGAACATTTTGTTTAAAAAATGCCACCAATGATTCACAACTCAGCTTTTTAAACATTAATTTAATAAGTTAGCCCGTTTATTTATGAAAACTTGAGGCAATAGTCCATAAATACTTTGCGAGTACAGATTATTAAATTGCAGACAATTAAGAAAATGGTAAACATTTTGAATTTTCAATCCAATTTTTATGCGTTATCTTTTCCTATTAGGGCTATATGTACTCCTACTAGGTGTAGAGGGAGGGGAGGATATATTTCTGTAGATTACATCGGAAACCTGAAACATTAAAAAAAATGAAAAATAATTATTTCTCCTTAATCTGTGTTTTTATTTTAATAGTTTAAATATGTATATAAATATTTAGGGCTTAACACAAAGTATGAGAAATATGCTTAACAATGCCGATCTCAAGATTAAGTTTGATATTATTAGTGTAAAACGGAACAGCCATAAAGTTAAGAAAAAATAAATTCTGAAGAATCGTGTTTATAATTCTCTCCTAGCTTTGTTTTGAGCCTCGAAAAAAATATAGATATTATAGACGTACTAATATACTCGTAATATTTACGATAGAAAGATCGGAGTACATTATGGAAGCTGAATTTTTTTAAAATCTAAACTTTATACATTAGTTGATAGTAAAGATCATAGAGTAATTAAAATAACAGATATGACACTAGATGTCGTCTTTTAAATATTTAAGTTTGTTTCGTTAACAAAAACCCTGAGGCAGAAGCCCAAACAAAGGAGTTACGCATAGTTGGCGTAGAATAGGCTCTTTCTCTGTCTTTTAATAGAGAGAGAGAGAGCTTGTTCTACGCCGACTACTCGTAACTCCTTTGGGCTTCTGCCTCAGGGTTATTGAGAACGAAACATACAAAGATCTTTAAAAGACGACATCTAGTATCCTTTCTGTTACATAACGATGACTGTACCTGTTCTTTGAGTATGGAGGTTTGAGTCATCATATTAACCCACATCCACATATCATGAAGCCCTTCGGCAGCCAAAACATTCTAGACAAACGTACAAAAATATAAACAAATGTTCTCCTTAGATTAAGGAAAGGAAACCTAATTACCCGCATGCTAATAGAGGAGCAGATAGAAAATGCTAGGGACCAAAAGATTTAAGCATTGTGAAAAGGATAGCATTTGGACTAGGGTAGGTATTTAATAAGAAACGTATAGAGAAAATGACATAAAGAGCAACTTTAATGTGAAGTTAACTATGTGAGGGAAGATATCATAGAGATGAGGTAGAGATGGGAATTGTTTTGGGTCTGTTACAACACATTATTTTTTTTTCTATTTTAAAACTCGTTTGAAAAAAATGTTTTGTTTATTATCTTTAGTCAGAGCTAAAAAATTTATTACAATAGAATAAAAGCAAATTTTATGTGCAGCGATCCTTTGAGAGAAAAAATGAATAAGTTTTACCTTCAGTTCTTTAATTGTGTATAAATCAGGTCGCTGATGCTCCCAAAGTCGAAAAAGTGCCTGAATATATATAGTATATATATACATACAATAATTATCTCTCAACATTAAAATATTGTTTGTTATGTAAACATTTTTTTAACAAATTAAATCGAAAAGAGAATATTTTAAGGTTTAAATGATTATTGGAAACCCTTCACATTTTTTTTTAATATAAGGAAGAGTCCATTATCGAACGGCAAAAACCGTAAATTCTAAAATCATTTAAGAATGGAAATACATATTTTTATAATGCATGAAACAATTGTTAACGCAATCAATAAAATTAAGATCATTAACGAACAGTACTGTTTAAAAACAGCTGAAAATATCATGAACGAAAGGCTTAAAAAGGCTTCTTTGCAACCCTGAGATAAAATAATTCAGGTCAGGTTAATACGATACAAGGATTTGAGTTAATTCCAAAAACTTAAATACCTGAAGTTTATGGCGTTCTCCCCTATTCCTATTAAATGATGTTCTATGATGTTTCCGTCCTATCTCAAGGTCTGGAATAGACCTAGAAAATCCAAGTCTTCTTGCAATATTTCTCCAATGCCCGACAACCTGCAAAAAATTAATGTTTACATTGAAAAGGGGGCCAGAAACTGTTGAATGAGGTTTTAAGCTGAGCTCATGCGTAGATGTTTTCTAGTTATTTATTTCTTTTTACATTCAAAATTGTAAGATTTTTAGATTTAAAATTGTATTTTGTTTTGATTCTAAATTATATTATTTTATATTCCAAATTATATTACTATTAGACTCCAAGTTGTGAGATTCTTAGATTCCAAATTATACTATTTTTAGATTTTAAACTGTACTATTTTTAGAATACTAATTGTAATATTATTGGATTCCTAATTTTACTTTTTTTCGATTAATTATTGTATTATTTTTAGATTTCAAACTGCAATAATTTAGATTCTTAATTGTAATAATTTCAGATTTTAGCTTGTAGTATTTTTAAAATTGTTATTTTTTACTACTTTTCGAGTAAAACCCCAAGGCCATAGAAAGCTACACCTGTTAATCTATTTTTAAAAGGGGATTCCCCTAGAAATATAATTCTTAATAGATCGATTCGGTCCGGAATTGCGAAAAAAATGAAATTGTTTAACTATAAAAAGATTAAAATTTGTCTCTAAAAAATAGTTTTGATCAGTTAATTTAGGTAAATAAATAACGTGGGAAACAACGCTGACTACCGATATGTTATCATTTAGATATTTTACACTATTATCAATCATTTAGTTTCAGGGGTAGGAATTTATTGTTTATTTTCACTCAGTCAGATATCGACGCGATGACAGCAAAAGTAAGGATAAAGATAAAGGCGCCACGGTTTAAATCATGTATATAATCATTTTGAGACTTGAGAGCATAGAGTAATAAAACGAAGAGGTAAAGCTTATCACAGATGTACACAACCGATTTCCCTATTAATTAATTGTGTGGTCAGTTGTATACATACATCACGATATGTTTACGTATCTAACACTGTACACTTGTATAGATTGTGATCGTATTTCTTTGGGGCGGTAATTGAAAATTAGTATTGATAATTAGAGACACTTAATATGGATTGTACACAGGTATGCTGCAGTACATTCCAGTTCAGATGTTTGTTTAATGTTTATGTTAATAAAAATTATGACCAATTTTGCATCGTGAAAAAGTGCACAAACTATTCCTGTAAAAATGTTTTTTTTTTTTTAAATACCATGGCTAGTCAGGGGAAAACAAGTTTGAAGAAAAATGAAACACCATTGCTCTCAATTGTAGGTGAGTATAAAAATGAATTTACTGTATTGTTTAATTTACAATGTTTCAATATTTAACATCATTTAAAAAAAAAGTCGCAATTAAAGATGCGTGCACATCGTTTTTTTTCAGTTCACTTTTTTCAGTACTTCAGTAAAAGTTTGAATTTGTTTGCTCACAGGATTACAGGCGCGCAACAAGGGGGGGCAATGGGGGGCAAGCACTCCCCCCCCCCTTAAGAAACTATAGTGTGACTGTACATTTACATTTTCTACAAGTAATTTTGATCGATTGCACATTTATGTATTCTAGAAGTAATTTTGCATCATAAAATATTATACTTTATTTGTGTTTGTTTTTGTTTCTTTTCATTCCGATCATCATAATCAAGAAATGAATAAATTAGAAGCCTAATCCTTGTTCCGAAAACAGATGTTATGTCGTTGTTTTTCTTTTGCACAGTTTAGAATAAATACCCGGACCACAATACGGGCCTTATATTTGGAAACAAAGAATTTTTCTTCAATGTTGCTGTAACTTTTGTGTAATCAACATTTATATATTTAAGCATCTTTGTTGGCGTTAAATTTAATTAATTCAATACTTAAATATTTTTGCCCATTTTGATGTTGAAAAGCTATATATGTTCTTTTACACGCCTTATTTATTAAAAATTAAAGACCATTTAACCTTTAGAGAGTTTTTCACCCTGTTTTTAAAAAAAATTTTAGTTTTTAACTGTTTTAAGTAATTATTCTTCAAAATCCAAGAAACAAAAATGTTTGCATATTTTTTCTTATACAATTGGTGGAGTTTAAAAATTAGAACTTTGGAAATTTTTTCAAAAAATCTTAAAAAAAAGAAATTTTGTATGTTACTTACCTGCACAGAACAAAATCAAACCTTTTTATTTTTTTTTGTCTAAATGGCAAAAACATTTTATTGAATAAATTACAATGCATGTCAAATATAAAGTAACTTTCTATTTGAACTAAAAAATATTTAAACCAAACAAATATGAACTAAACAATATTTTAGAATTTTATTAAATCATTTTATTTCAGACTTTACAGGATGGAATTGGGATTCAGTTTTGACTGTAAATGGACCGATAATTCCTCAATGAGTGGAACAAACGAAACGTTTCATTCGTTAACCTCATTTTCTTCAGCTACTGGGTCATCTTCACATGGTTCAAGCTCCTGGGCCTCACAAGCAGGGTGGATCCCGGATACCCCGCCCTCGTCCTCTAACTCAATCTCTGGAACGTCCGGACGAAACGATTTGATTGATTGGACCGATGACCTAATTTCTTCAATAGATGAGGTTCTTCAGGCTTCAGAGTGCCAAGATGTTTTAACCGAGAACACATATAGTTCAGGAAATAATAAAAGTAGTCCCAGTAGTTCCGTTGACAAATATAGCACTACTAATATCAAGTATAGTCCAACTACCTCAACTGTCATAAAATATAGTCAAACTGAGAAAAAATATAAACAGGCCGAGAAACCAGGAAACAGGGGATCTCTCGGACAATTCCAGTTTCAAGACGAACAAGGCCTAGAATTCAAAGTAAAAGGAAGAATTTGCGAAGAAAAAAAGGTAAAAATGCATTTTATTAAAGAGACAGTCAACGAGTTTCATGAATTATGTTCCTTTAATAAAAACCTTTCTTAACAATGATGAAGATATTCGTCCATCAATTTCTTTCTTTCTGCAAGAAACTCTTTTAGAAAAAAATGATGAAATTTTCGAATGAAGACAAGGATATTTCCAGCAAATTTACTTGGATAAAGTATTGAAGGTTAAATCTTTGCCACAAACTCAAATGTTCTAACCCCCTATATATTTGCAACCTGATGGTGTAAACCTTTGATATTTCAAACATGTATCATTTAATCTAACAGAATTCATGGTTTGAAAAATCTAAGGTTTACGACAATGGGTTGCAAAAATATAGGAATTAGTAAATTTAAGATTGTGGCAAAACTCAATTCTATTAAGTCTCCAATCCCTTAAATGTTGTCATGCTTTTTCCAAATAATTACAACATTGTTGATTTTATTTTTGATTTCTCTTTAATTAGACTTCTTCCCCGTCTCTGAAGAAAATGCTTTTATTACTTATTTATTTATTAATCTTTCCTTATTATTTTTCTAGAAATTTTTATTATTTTAGAACAAAGGAAGAGTGGACTGGGACGGCATGGTGGAGCAAACCTTTAAAATCGAAAAAGAATCAAAAAAGTCGTTTTTTCAGAATTTTTTTTGAAACAAAGTATACTATTTTGTGATTTTTAAAATACTTGTACAAGTGATATTCTGAAGTTTATAACCGATTATTATATTATAGCTTAATTCTTTTATGTGAATTATTTAAAAGATAGACTTTTCATTACCACCTCTCACGTTTTGTTTACTTTTCCATAATTTAACTGGTTTAATATAATGCATTTGTTTATTGTTACAATTCTTCGCTTTTCAATTTAATAATGTTTGCCATTTTCTATTGGACTGGTGAGGATATGAAATATTTATCTCAATAGATTTCTAACCCCGAGAGTTAAAAACCTTTCTTTCAATAAGAAAAATGACTATACCGATATTACTGTGATTTAAAGGTTTCAAGCTCTCCAACAAAAATCGATGAGAAATGTGCCAATTACTTTTTAAAAACAAAAACTAACAAGTGCTTTATGGTGTTAAAATGTACATGTAAAGGGCTACAGAAAAGCACAAGTGAGTTAGAACAGTACAATAAAAGTTCAAGGCATTGCAACATTTCAAAGTCGACCCTGTCCTAAACATTTATAAGAATTTTATAATTAGACTGAATCTATGTTTATGATATACATGTATTTGTTGGTTTGTATAAAACGTCACAACGGCTGAACTGACAGGGTCTTCATTTTTTTGTGGAGCCTCCCATGACCCATGAACCAAGAAATACGATTATAAATCCACAAAAGAAACACGAGAAATCTGCGAAATATGGTGCAAAGAAAGAAATTTTAAAATGCTAAAATTGTTTGTAACCTAGTAAATACATCCCGGCCCATAGAGGCATTAATTGTATATTGTTACTGGCATTGTATAAATGCATAGATTATTTAGTGTTCATAGAGATACACGGACATGAAATAGAGTCTTGCCATAATAATTTATTGATTGATTGATTGATTTATGTGCCCTATATATATATATATATATATGAATAAAGTAAGGGGAAGGTTTGGGCGTGGGGGGGGGGGGGGAGGAGTAAACGTGAACTGTATTGAAGAATGAATATAATCATTAATTATGAATTTTTAGACAACCAATTACTGGCTGCTCGCTTACTTCACACACACACATTTCGACCAACACAGATAGAACACTGGGTTTACTGTGGACTAGTAGAGTAGTTTGTAGATTATAGATTTAAATAACAGACTACAAATTGTCATGGTTAAGAGTCAGTGCGCCTTAAGGGCCTTTACTTAAAAACCCATTTTTATCCGTAAAATAAAGGTTTTTCGTATTTTCTATTTTATGCTTGTTTATTAGACTATATATTTTTGGATATATATTTTTGATACAAACACAAAAATATAAAGCACTTATTCTTAGCATTAGTATTTCAGAAAATCGGCAAAATTTTCATAGATTTTTGCGTAAGAGGTTGCAACCTTTGGATCATAATGTAAGATTGGCTGAATTATTTTATTAAAGGTATTACTTGCATATTCACCTAGATGAAAAAATGTAGAATTATTACAAGTGATATAGAATTAATCATAGATAAGGAAAGATTGTGTGCAAGATATTTTTAATTAGAAAAATTCTACGTGGAGTCTAGGAAATTGGAAACAAAAATCATGTTTATCATTTATGTTTAGATATTCTAGAGTTTACAAAAATCCCACAAAATGCACTCTGTCTTATCTCAATATTTTTGGAACACCCCCTTTCCATATCAAAGGTATCTCCTTGAACATTTTTATCAATTAATAAACAAAAAGGACTTTTACATTGTCAGTATTTTTTTAAAGATAAGTTAGGTAAAATGTTACGATTACATTTTCTATAACTCAAATAAAAGGAAATATTTTTTTTTGAAATTTTGGAATATGTTATTTAAAGCATGTTTCTGCGATCTTAAAATCTATTTACGCGAGCCTGGGACTAAATGATGATAGATTAGTAGAGATAGTTTAGATATGGTTGACGCATATATGGGCATATTATTATTATATATCATCAGAATACATGGATAGGACAAAGATAGGACAGACAAGTCGGCGGCCTAGTCGCTGATTTAAGTAACATTATTGAAACAATATTTCTAAATATGCGATCTAAATATCTCAGCAATATTACTAAACAAATAATTAAACAAATTTAAAAGTAAGTAGAACAAAACGATTGAAAAATGTTTAAAATCCCGGTTTAACGTACTGAAAACAAAACTTTAAGACCGACTATGGGTGAAAACATGAAAAATAATCAAAAAGAAAACATAAAAAATGGAGAACTTTTTAAGAAGACGATACTTATAAATAGAATTAAAAAATATTGAAAAGATAACCTGAACAAATTGAAACTAAAAAGACATAAATAAAAAATAGGTTTAAAGAGGACGACCTATAAATGAAAATATGTTTGAAGAAGACGGCCTAAACATATAAAGATGTATAAAGAAGACGACCTAAAAATATAAATATGTATAAAGAAGACGACCTAAAAATATAAATATGTATAAAGAAGACGACCTATTCAAATGAATAATGTTTTCACCTTGTCATCACTGACGATCCATTCTACTAGGTCTGGAGTTATGCTTCCCATCATTGCTTTAATTAACGTAGTATTGCTGAAACCATTTTTTATTTTAATCTTTATTTCCAAAAATCACTAATTATGTTTGTTTTTTATCACTTAGAATAGTTGAATTTCAGCAGCTTGAAGATTCCGTTATCCTTTTATCTCTTTATCTAGCTTATTGTTAAATACAACAATTAAAAGATAAAGACAAAATTCTTATCTGAAAAAAATACAAAATTAAGTTTTATTGTTTTAATTAAATGCATAATGCTTAATTTGATTCTTGTAAATCAACAAATCTTTTCAACATTAAACTTTAAAATTTTAATTATCGTGTCGAGATTCTATCTATATATACTTAGTAGTTACTACAGTGTCACATTGTAATTCCTATTTTATATAATTGGTGTTAGAACTACACTAAAACTAAAATACCTAAATGAAAGACAAATTTCTGACACAAGGATAGGCGCAAACAATCTCTCACAATGTATTAGAACCAGGGACTAAATCAGATTTTACAGAAGTATACGTTATTGTACTGTATGAGATTAAACAAATCAAATTCAGATAAAACTAAGAGCGACTGTATTACAAAAAAGGTTGTAAAGATATAAAAAAAAGTTACTGCCACTCCTAATTTCATACAATAGAAATATAAGTTCAGATATTTTAAAATAACAATACTGCGTGTGTTTAAAAACTACATATTTTGTATAATATTCAATTATTTTGAACTTAATTTTATTTGTAAATTTTAAAAGTAAATAATAATTATGATAAAAAAAACAACATTTGTCAAAGAAAAATGGTACTTAAAATTGTATTGAATGTTTCAAGATTTTAGCCGACGCTCAATTGAAATAATTATTCACATTTTTGCTGAAGGTTATCATTGTAAAAGTTTGTAAAGACTAGAAGTATCAGATAGCAAAACATTACACATTAGTAATTTAGAGTGATATTATAATTCATGCTAAAGATATTTCAATATATAATGAATATGAATATGAGGGGGGAGGCGAGAGGTAGAAGCTATAAAAACGATAGTTTACAGGGCAAAATATGATGAAAATGGCCAATGGGTTTTGATGGAAAGGCTCATGTTTTAGGATTGCATTCATTTCAAAGTTTTATACATCAAAAACGAATGATCTCTCCCCCCACCTTCTTCAATTAGTGATGGGACATAGCTTGTTCTTTTTTTTGGGTTGTCTTTGAGGTTTGGTTCGTTTTTGAGGATTTAGACTTTAAAATGGCACCATAAAATACTGTGAACCTCCGACATTTCAAAACAAAGTAATGTTTTATGCGTAGAGCTCGTTATTACTCCTGGCTTGTCAGTCATGTGGAAATACATAATTTTGAAATGATATTAAGTTTTATTCATTTTATAATATAAATTTTCATCAAATTAAACTAATGAAGAAGACTTCCCTTTTTTAAAAACTTTCCCATACATCCCCCTCCCCCATTTTTCGGCGAGTATCCTCATCCCCCCATAACCCCCTCCCCATACACCATTATAAAATGACCAATTCTTTATCATCAATTAATCAATCAATCAAAAAATCTAATCTTTTTCAACAAAATTGAATAGAACACATAATTGAATCTTTTATTGAGGGGCCTTTATACGCAATCTAATTTCTCCGATCAAGGATGAATTCGAGACATTCTTATTTTTGTAACTGAAAATTGATCATTTTCTATTGTGGGTTTTCTAAAGAAATGTTGCAAATCTAGAAAATAAAGATTTGAACACCACCATAAATTGGACAGAAATTAGAGGGTCACTGGATAAAACGTCTTTTGTCCCATTAAAGCACACGAATTCGAATTATGGCTTTTAAAAGTACTCGTCTTTAGATAAAGCGTCGAGACTTGATTTCAGCGTCGAGACTTGATTTCAGCATCGAGACTTGATTTTAGCGTCGAGTCTTGATTTCAGCGTCGAAACTTGATTTTTACGTTGAGACTTGATTGCAGCGTCGAGACTTGATTTCAGTGTCGAGACTTGATTTCAGCATTGATATTAAACAAGTTAAGCAGTAAAATAATGTGTAGGTTGTAATTATTATATCTCAGTACCATTGTAGCAAAAAGCTGGCAAACATGATATTCTGTAAACTTGCAGTACATTGTACGTAATAAATGATTTAATGTACTAAGCTTAGACTATTCTATTCATTGAAACTGCGTTTCAATCGAATACTTAACATGATTAGCTCAAATCATGCGACATACTTAAATTATGCTATAAAATAAGGACAGAGAAGATTAACTATGTTATATATATTCCCAATTTAATCCTTTAAATACGTACCTTAAACTTTAACTGCGTGATAAATACGTAATACGATGGTCTTAATCATGTGATATCAATAACATTGTAGGAATTGAATGACGTCAATTCCTGTTAACTTTATAACCTTAGCAATTGCATAACGTTAGTTGATTGAGACTCGGCTTTTGATTACGTTATCAGAAGCATAGCAAGCTTGGAACAAAGCTTTGGTTCTCGTTGAAACATACCAGCGAAGATCTTTGCTAGTTGATTTAGCATTGAATCAAATATAGCTTGAAAGATAGCTTGTGATCTCGTTGAATCATACGAGTGGAGATCTTGCCTTGATAATTGGCAATTGAATCGAATATAGCTTGAAAGATAGCTTGGGAACTAGTTGAATTATACAAGTTGAGATTTGGACTGTGTGTCCTTTAGAACCGAGGAGTTAAGCATGGTTGAACAATTGCCCGTGTAGCAATTTCAATTGCCTGTGTGGCTTTTAGAACTAGGGAGTCAAGCCTGGTTAAGATTTGGACTGTGTTTGTCCTGTAGAACCGGAGAGTTAAGCCTGGTTGAGATATTGCCTGTGTGGCATTTAGAATCGAAGAGTTAGTCATGGTTGATCTCGGTAAAGAGAAGACCTGGACTCGAGTAAATTGTTATGGAGTAGGTATTTGCTACATCATTTGGGTTGACATTTTTTACCGGAACCCATTAAAAACCTGGTAAACACTAACTAATGTAATGAATGAAAGAAACCAAAAAAATATAGGAGGGTGAATCTAGTAATTGCGTATTTATAAACTTCGTTATTTTTCTAATTCTGGGCTTTTAATTTATTGGGATGGACATATTATGCTTAGTTAAGATTTATTCTCCATAAAGTTTCCATTAATCTACAGGGGTGATTAACTTTTCTAAAAACATTAAAATTATAAACTCATTTTTCGAAAGAATGAAAAATATAGTAAAAAACAAAAACCCTTTTTTTGTCAAAATTGAGGTTAAATTGAAAAAAAACACTGCAAAAAGACGTTGGTGTCTCGAGGGTTTAAAGGTTAATATGTCAAGATTTGTTGTGTCTGGAAAATGTCAAATTTGTCAACTTTTAATAAAATACTTCATATAGGGGGATTTATATAAAAATACTTAACATAGGGGGATTTATATAAAATATCTTCTATTTTAATAATGAAATGAAACGAGCTTTTGAAGATAAAAACTTTTTGAATATGGGAAAGAAAGTTTTATCAAAAACAGAATTAAAATTTTAATTAAAAATTTGCCATCAAATATTTCCATCTTTTTCTTTTAGATTTGTAAAGCTAATCAAAGCAAAAATTGATAAAAATTTCAATCAAATTAAAATTTGAAAAAATATGAATTAAAAAAAAACCAAATAAAGTTTTATCTATGGATTTAACGCTTAGTCTCCACCCACCCCTTAACTCCGTTCATTGTTCTAACTTACAATTCATCCCTATACCCCTCTTCTCCTTGCTTACACCTTACATATGCACACTTGAACAAATACAAGATATCATAAGCCCTTTACATACATTTACAATACATTTATACAATATAACTATTCAGTTTCTCCAATAGAGCGTATAGTGTTTACAGATTAGAATACTGATAGTTAACCACTATACATCCTCTTCAACTACAATTCACAAACTGTTTAAATACAGAAAATGTTGGAGAAAAATCTGCAAATATTATCTTTAAAATCCCCCAAAGATTATTGTTCATTTGCACATTAATACAAATGCAAAGGTTTTCCAAATCAAATAGCTCAAGAGGTCTTTCTTTATAAAGGAGGATTGCCTAACAATACAAAGAAAATTGATTCTTAAAGTTGCGCCCTATTAAAAAAAAAAATTCCCGGCAGTAAATTTTATCTTCAGAAAGCTGAAGCTCTTAGTTTTGAGTGAATGTATTTCTGAATAATCATTGCTAAATATTTGCTAAAAATCTTTGACCCTGAATTAGGAGGATTTATATGCGGGATAAGTTGCATGTCGTGATCATTACTCGTTGCATTTTTTAGTAAACCTGCACCCCCCCTTTCCTGTCATATATATACTATTGTGAACCATATCCCTCAAATTTCCCCTGTTGTAAGGTCGTCTCCGACAAACTGTACCTCCGTTGAATACTCCGTCCACTCACCAAACCAAACCTTGCCAAGGATTTTGCATAAACGTAAACAATAACCTCATGGAGCTAATAAAACTGTAAGTGCATTAAAAGAACCCATTTAAACATAATTTCAGTGAATCATTTGCAATCAAATAGTGAACTTATTTAACCAGACGAATATTTATTTTCAGAAGAATTAAATTGCTTTAGACTTCAGTTCAAACAACTTTTCGACCTAACACAGTTTTCTAGATTGTAAGTTCCATTCACAACAGTACCTTTTAAACCTTTTATTAATCAGTTCACAACAGTGCCTTTAAACCCTTTATTTATCGATTTACAACAGCAAAAAAATATGATCCCCAAATCCTGCTAAACCTACTAAACCTAAAATCTCCAATCCTGCTAAACCTACAAAACCTAGAATTCCAATACTCATTTATTGATAAAAACCTTCAACTGTTTAATCTTTATTAACAATTATTATTTATATCCATGTACGCCAATAACAATTTGTATTTTGTAGGAAACCTCGTTACTGAAATATACTTTTTCAAGAAGTTGTTCTCATCTATGTGTGTCTGGTAGAAAAGAGTGTTTTCCTTGCCAACTCGCCTTATTTCCCTCTTTCGAGTATTATTCCTTTTGTTCAGCTCACAACTACCCCCCCCCTTTACGCAACATTTACTTGCGCCTATGACTAGAAAAATTGTAAATTGTACAGTTAACCCAATCTAAGCTGCGTGATGTAAATTATATCTCTACTGCATGTATTCTGCATCCG